GCAGAATTATTGGAAAGCCTGGCCCAGCTTGTTTAGCCCCTAAACAGTTCACCAATCCAGGTTCAGATGTCACACTAAGTAACTGCTGAATGTGGATTGCCTCCGGTCTTTCCCGCTCATGCGCAGCAACCTATGAGCTAAACCATTCTGACATGCGAGCCAGCCCAGCGATGGTCACAAGCTGAAATTGTTGTTGTTGTTAGTAGCGAAGTCGTGCCCGACCCATCGCGACCCCATGGACAACATTCCTCCAGGCCTTCCTGTCCTCCACCATCCCCCGGAGTCCACCTAAGCTCATGCTGACTGCTTCAGTGACTCCATCCAGCCACCTCATCCTCTGCCGTCCCCTTCTCCTTTTGCCATCAATTGTTCCCAGCATTAGGCTCTTCTCCAGGGAGTCCTTCCTTCTCATTAGGTGGCCAAAGTATTTGAGTTTCATCTTCAGGATCTGGCCTTCTAAAGAGCAGTCAGGGTTGATCTCCTCTAGGACTGACCAGTTTGATCACCTTGCGGTCCAAGGGACTCGCAGGAGTCTCCTCCAGCACCACAATTCAAAGGCCTCAATCCTTTTGCACTCAGCCTCCCTTATGGTCCAGCTTTCACAGCCATACATTGCAACTGGGAAAACCATAGCCTTGACTATACGCACTTTTGTTGGCAGGGTGAAGTCTCTGCTTTTTAGTATGCTGTCTAGATTTGCCATAGCTTTCCTCCCCAGGAGCAATTTTAATTTCTTGGCTGAAATTGCATGCCCTTTAAAAAGGACTAGACCAATTGAACCAGCATAATGAAATGGAACCTCCTTATTCCAAGGCAATATACCCCAGAATACCAGATATTTGGGACAAGCTAAAGGAAGGCTCCCTCTTTCATGCTTTGCTGCTGAGCTTCCATAAGACTTCACACTATTTACAGAGAGAAATGGAAGCTTTGAATTAGACCCAGGGCGGGTCTCTTGTAGCCCACAGGCCTGATTTCAAAAACCCCCTTTAAGTGATCAGTTCAGACCTCTGGCAAGTCTGGAAAGTACAGTCTGTCTGTACCTCTCCCAGCAGACCAACATGTGGGAAGGGAGTTATAGGGAGAAGGGAAAATGGAGCAGCAGAAGCAGAGAGAAAAAGGGGTGGCAGAAGGAAAGAGGGCTTTCTGTCTACAGGCCGTGCTTCCTCCATTTAGCATCCAACAGATTATCTCTCAGGAAATGCAACCCTTCTCAGAAAAAAAAGTTTCACCATCGTTGAATTAGACTGTGGTCTGATCCAGCAGGAATGGAAGGTTTGCACCCTCTTACCTTCGCTCCCTTTTCTCCTCTGTCCCTCAGGTCAGTTTTGAAGTGGAGAAGCAAAAATGCATTTGCCCCAAGGACCTCTTGCTGTCCTCCTTCCTACACTTAAAGAAAAGTTCACAGATGGAAGCAGCAGCCGGAGACGTGAGGTCAAATATTCCATTAAGAGGCTGCCAACGAAGATGCCAACATCAGTTAGTGTTCAAGAAATTCACAGTGAAATTGACAGGATCCAACTAATAGGCATTAAGATGAGAAATTAGGAGGAGTATTAAAAGCATGGTAAGGCGGCATCAAAGGAAGGAGAAAAGGAAGAGCAGCAGAAAGGGATGAGCTGTACTGAAAATGACATTTGTTTAAACAAACAGCGCTGCCCTTGGAAGAAGTTATATCTGGATTTGCATTCTGGGAATCTGGAAAAAAAAAAAAAGAATGGGAGAAAGCAGAGCGAGTTACAAGGCATGGTTGCACTTCTAGTAGGCCAAGGATGCAGGCAAATTTGGGATTGCAAAGAAAAGGTGGGGAGGGAGAAGAAATACAAGGACATAGGATGACGGGGCTGCAACTCCATGCAGCTTGTCATGCCATTTCCTTCACATCTCAGGATAAAGGTGCGGTGCCTCCCCAGCCACCCAGACAACCACCAGTTCTCCCCAAGCAATTTCTGTCGGGTGAAGCTGGCCCTTCAAGCAGCGAGTGCTGGTGGAAACAGGAGGAGACAGCTTCATGCCCTCCCTTCTTTCACAGAAGCGAGAAAGATTGGCAAACGAAGCACCCATGTCCTGCTCAACAGCTTCCAAGAGGCGTCTGGTTGGTACCATCTTGTCTTTCACCTCAGCCAGGAAAATGCCTGGAGCTAGCCCTGAATAGATTCTGTGTACTGGTGGGGATATGGCCCAAATAGGTTCAGCAGCTGAGGAAAAGCCAGGGTGGACCCTTGCTCAAAGCTGCCCATCAGCCCCACTTCTCTTCTGCCTCATCCCCTGGAATCAACCCGTTGTTTTAACTGAAGCTGTGCTGGGGGCCTGGCGAGGGCTTTCCTCGCAGTGGACCTGCTGCTTGTGGAGACTGAAGCAGACTCACCCGGGGGCACACGCGGATGGCATCCCTAGCTCTGAGTGGTACCCATCTTTCCTTTTTGTCTTCTCAGTCCTTCTTCCATCAGTTCTCACCTCAGTATTATAGTCCTGCCCATCTGCCAGGCTCTCCAGGTGTGTTCTTCCTCCAGGTAACTCCTCTAAGATCAAAAGCGGCATCCTGTAGGATGCAGGAGTCACTACCAAAACCCTTCTTCTCAGATGCCTACCTACCTAGCAGCATGAGGCAAGTCAGAAGAGGCTGTGTATCAAGGGTTGCCCATCACATCTCCCAGTGTCTCATCAGAAACTGTTTGTGCTGCATGCAAAGCTTACACCAATTAGAAGAGGACACCAACAGGCAATACCACATTACATTCATATTTCCACTGGATCTAAGAAAAAGCCAACGCAAGTCCCTTATCTGAAAGACCCAGGGGGCTGATGGTGCGAAATCACCCCAAGGCTTTGCTTCCCAAGCTGCTTCCCTCTTCAGTAAGATTCACTAGATACCCAGAAGCTACTCACTATCAGACGTGTTCCTCCCAGGCTTCCTTTTTGTTCACCCCAATCCTAAATTTATCCTCTTCTCTCAAATCCATTTCATCCTGTCACTTCCAATGGTCCCCCTTCCCAGCACAGCTCTCCACTTTTCTGCCATGCCTTTTTTGCATCTATTAAATTTCTGTCACTTTAATAGGGCTGTCATCCTGTTACAGAATTCTAATCCTATCAAGCCTGTATGATGGACTATTTCTGGCCTAATGAGAAAGGGCACGGAGATGTCACGCCTGTGCTCCTTTCTCACTTCTGGCTTCCTTTGGTTCTCATAGCTTGAACACGTCCATTGTAGCTGAATCAAGCCTAAGCGTCAAAACTTAATGGAGAGGTGCTCTGAGGTCAGTAGGACTGCTCAGCCTGTCTTAGGTGGGATAGCCAAACTGGGGTCCTCCAGAGGTCTCACCCCCAGCTTTGATCATCCCCAGCTGGCAGCGGTCACAGGAGTGGTATTCCAATAAGCACTGTTTGCAAAAGCCACGCTGGCTGCTTGGGAGCATTCCTGAACCTAGCTTTGCTCCTAAAGTCCAGGCAATGTCAGCAACACGATCGCCTTTGTCAGGCTGAGGCTGGTACACAAGCAACTAGCCTTCCGAGAGATGACAGATCAGGCCGCAGGCGGCTGCTTCGGGGCTGCAATGTGCTCCGTGATGAGCTGCATTTCATCAGTGTTCAGAAACGTTTCAAAGAAAGGGGTTAGGCTTGCAAATGACTCCAAAGCTAATCTCCAATCAGTGAACAGAAAGCCTCATTGCTCTCCCCTTCAAGGACTGCAACCCGCCTATTGGGGCACCTAGGATACAAGGCTGCACAACCCACAGCTGAGGCCACATGAGGCCTGTGAGATACGCCCAGAGAAGTTGGAGAAATTTGCAACTGATCCCAATGAGTTCTGTTTTCTATTAATCTATTAATTAATCTATATTCTGACCCTGCGAACTCTACAGGGCACACAGATTCCATAGCCTGGAAGACCAGTGAACACAAATGCACCTTTGCAAATAGGAATGGAATTCTCACAAATCTTATTCTATCAGTGAGTAGGGGATGGAACAAAAAGTTCCAACAATACATGAAATGCAGGCAGAATGATTTAACAAAATCAAGAGACCCTTAGTTGTACATTCCTGAGCTACGGGCTGGGTCACACGTACTAAAATATGCTTTGAACAGAACTGACAATTGCAAGGGACTACGCCATGTTGTCTAGTAGCTTAGATTTCGAAAAAGGATTGGCCAAATGGAAGAGAACAACTCTCAGTGATGACCCACAGAAGCAAACCCAGTATCAGAGGCATGAGGCATACACCACAGGGTGGACTGCTTCCTCCATGCCCTGCTTGGGAACGTCCAGAGACTTTGTATGGTTGTCATTAGAAGCTGGGCTAGATACCTCTTGGTCTGATCCATCAGGAGAGTTCTTGTCCCCAAAGACAAAGCTTTCCGGTTGAGTCAATTCACATGCATTTAGCTATGACTGGGCTGAATCAGATGATATGCTGTCTAATTCAACAGCTGTTTCCACACTGATTAAACCAGGTGCCCCTGGGAAGCCCCTGAGCAGGACATGGGCACAATTGGCCTCACCTGCTACTGTTCCCCAGCAACTGTGTACATCAGCATGCTGTTTCTGACCCTGTTTCTGACCCAGATAGCCAGCATGGCTCACAGCCATTGATGGCTTTACCCTCCATGAATCTGTCTAATCCCACCTCTAAAGCTAAGTTGGTGGCCATTACTAGATCCTGAGATAACAAATCCCATAATTTAACAAGGTGCTTTGCGGGGAAGTACCTCTTTTGGGCTGTCCTGCACGGTTGTATGCAGGTTCCTCGAGTTCAAGTTACTCCCCTTTTACTGAACTGAAAAGTCCCCAAGCATCATGAACGTACCTCATCAGGGAGTTCCATGTTCACAGTTATCAAAGTATGTACACGTGAGTGAGTGGGCTTAAGTCGATAATCCACCCTTTGGTTTTCTTGAAAGAACAGTGCATAGTATTCGCCCATCACCAATGTGGAGATGTTCGCGGACCACAAACACACAACTAGGAAGCCTTTATCACCATGAATCAGGAAAGCGCCATTTCATTTCTTTTAATCACTGAGTTGTTTTTTCAAAGCAAAATATTTTGATCCAGGACATGATGTGCCAAACATTCAAATAGATTATCCATAATTGTATACAAGGTACAGCCATTGTATGTACATACACATTTACACATTTTAATTTTATTATTACTCAGCACACAGCAAATTCCCCTAATGAAGACAAAAATAAGATTTAGGATTCCCTTTGTCCATCTGTTCCATTTCATCTCCTTGTGCCCACCCTCCACCCAAAAGCAAAACAGAGTACTTATAACAAGGACATGAACATGTGACATTATACCACGGAGTGAGCAAAATCACCATTCATTCTTCAATTCTGTAAGACAATGTACAGTACATTCACCAAACAATCACTATCAAAGTGTCCACAATGCCACTAAATCCCATTTTGATTTTTTGTTTAAAAAGTTTAAATAAACACATTCTTCATAAAAACAGTTGCATCAGTAACTTTGAAGGTTTAAGTCTGAAACCTGGTGTGCAAAATGCCACAGGCAAAGAAGCAGCAAAATATGGGTTTCGGTATGCAGAAGACTCCCCTCCCCAAAAGCGAATGATATACCCTTGATTTTTATTGCCTTAATACAGGTGGGTTAAAGCATCTTATACTCTTTGCTCCATACTCTGAATTTACTACACTGGATAACAAAGCAATTCAGAACAGTAGCAGCTCAACCCTGATATTCTGAAGAATTTACTTACAAGCCCTAAAACAAAATAAAATAAAAAAATACTGACTGAAGAAAGTGAGATCTGAATTGCAAGTGAAGGAGTAGAAAGGAAGGACGGACGGATGGAAGGGCAGGGGAAGTTGAACTGGTTCCACGAGCTCCAGTGCTTCCAGCAGCTGCCTCGGGATGGAGCTGTCACCTAACTTAAGAAGCTACACATGTTTATGTCCCAGAGTCCTTTTCTTTAGACTACAGGACTGAAGGACAGTGGCAACCTCTGGCAAAGATGCGCTAGGGGACTCCTGGACTGACCAAGCCCAGGCATAAAGACAAGGTTGCACTCTGAGCTCTGCCTTCAGTCCAGATTCCAGCCATTCACTGGAGGGCCCTTTGGTGGGAGAAACCCGATTTCAGACTAGTTTCAGATATAGCTTTGCCCGAGTTCTCATCCAACCATAGACCAGGGGTCATCAGCATGCATTCATGCCAGTATCCCATGGATACTTGTTTTTATAAGGGATAAATCAGTTATCATTTTTCAGGGGAAGAATGTTACACAGAATTTCTACTGATCTCTGCAACTTGCCCACTAACAATGGAGGGGCTGCCTCGTTAGGCCACGATTATCATGCTGAAGCCAGTGGGGGAGTCCCCACTTCACATGCAGAAGGTCCTGGGTTGCATTCCGGGCAACCAAAAGTAGGCCTGGAAAGTCCGTCATCTGAAACCCTGGAAAGTCACTGCCGGTTATGCCGGTTGGGTTTGGTTGGAATCCAAAACATCTGGAGGGCAGCTGGTAAGCAAATGCAGGTGTGGCTAATACCAAAAAACACGGACCAATATTGGCATTCGGTAAAAAACAGCTGCCAACATTTCTAATCCGTGATTAGGAAGGCTCCATTTGCAAGTGATGTGGGAAGCCATGAAAGAGGCGTGCAAAGGTATGCATGGTGTGGACAAAGTGGATGGAAAGTGGACAGGTTTTCCCAGTGGGATGTGGTGATGGCCAGAGTTTGGATGGATGGTATTAAAAGGGAGAGCAGACAAATTAATGACGAGAAAGGCTATCCATGGCTACTAGTTACACTGACTACGTATTACCTCTGCTGTTGTGGGGAGGTAACTCTGTATGCCAAGTTGCTGGGGCTCATGAGCATGCTGGTGCCATTGCCCTCATTGCTTCTGGGCTTTCCACAAGGATCTGGTCCCTGTGCAAACCGATGGCTGGATGAGAGAGCACCGATCCAGCCTGGCTCTCCTTCTGTGCACTTGAGATCTCGGGGTGTCTCTGCCAGTCAGAGGAAGTAACACTAGGCTTGATGGACCATGACGGTTGACTTGAACCACAACACAGCAAGCAGGTGAGAGTTTACCTACCGGCTGCCAGATTGGAAGGGGTAATGTGCCCCAGGCAAAGTTAAAATCTGCCCCCATCTCCCAGAGTGATGCTGTTCTCCAGGCTTTCCAAAGGGATACAAAGGGCTTCCTCGACCAGCGATGCCCATCTTCAGTGCTCACCCCATTTTTATACCAGGCAGTGCATGTGGGAAACCTCCTAGACAGCTGCATCCACCCCTTGAGACAAGGACTTGTTTTAAGCAATCATCCTTTAAACCAATCGATTAAATTGTGCTGCATTTTACCAGAACTTTTCCATGAATGTCACAGAAGAATGACGTTGCTTAGTATTTAACTAAAGTTTTCACTAGTCCTTTTTTCCCCACACCTTTTAAAAAACTGTTTTCTTCAGCAATTATTCAATAGACCAAAGGTTAATAAAAAGCAAGAGTCCTGCCACTCAGAGCCTAAACTATTAAAGCTGACCACTCTGTAAGTCTACAATCACACTCACAATCCTCCTCTTTTCAATTCACTTCTTCCTCTGCTTCATGAAATGCAAACTCCTTTAGACAAGGACCTTCTCTTGTGTTGCTCTTGGGAGCTGTGAGAACATTATTTAGAATATTTCTATCCTGTCTTTCCCAGTATAACTTATGTCACACATGAACAATCGATGTGGTTGCAAAGCAACTCCCCGGATTTGGTCCTAAGCATCCATTAGTGAGATAATAAATAATAGAAAAAAAAATAACATGCTATGCTGGAAGCTGCAAAAATGGAAATGGTACATTTTCCTTAAAAATTAGGAATGTGCAGTTACTCCTACCTTTCATGCATCAGTAAACTTTTGCATTTGTAGGGTATTTGCAATTGAGCTCTCCCTTGAAGAGCCACTTCATGGAACTTGTAGACTAAGCAGGGACGGGCAGAATCATAGGATGGCATCCGAGGCGACGTCAGCACAAACGTCTGTCACTCAAGCAAAAGGGAACCCCCGCGCAACACCAGCCACATGCGCTTGTGGGACTGGATTCCTTGGGAAACCCGACATGCCGGCTGTTGTGCTAGAAGTTCCTCACAGATGCACAGTGGAATGTGCATTAGCACTTGGGTTGCATGGGATACGAACAAACTATTCTGTGTGCTCTCTGTGGCACTGTCTGAAGGACAGGTAGAATTATGGAAAGGTGAGGCTGGGGGTGCAGAGTTGTTTCTAGTCCTCACTGTTGCTGAAAACATTGTGAAAATATATTGGACGTTCTGCTAAACAAGTCTTCAGCTGATGGGTCATGCCTTGAATTAAGATCACTACCACATCCTATACTTTTTCTTTTTTTGGGGTTTAGGATATTGATTTTATTTCTGAGAGGGAGAAAGATAGGAGGGTGATCCCACTCTTTCAGTACAGACTTGCCACCAAAAATGTGTCAAGTTCTTTCCCTCCTATGATGTGCAGTAAAATTTAACTCATCTTCTGATCTCTCCTTGACCCGTCTGGTGGCCTGTTGTTGGCAAGGGCAGGAAGGTGCACCCGGCAACAACAGGATATGGTTTCAAAACAGACTGTGGAGAAGGAAACTGGCACAGCACTGCCTTTTTAACAGCAAGCTTGTGTTTTATTGTCCTTTTCTATACAGCCTCGTCCATTGCCATTCCATCCATCAAAAGAGAAAAACAACATCTACAGTAGGAACTTAGATATTGGTCCCCTACCAAAGGCTTTAAAAATGCTGAAGACTGCTCTGACCTGTAGGCCAACTGTGATTGTGTTGGGAATTCTTAGGTAAGATGCCAGCCTTTGACTAATTGTTCCTACATAAAGACAACTAAGAGTGTTCAACCATAAAATCACCTGGTCGTGGTGACTGCATTAGCAGGCAGGTCCATTTGCAATGCTGATTGCATTTAAAATACTACATAATCAACACTGTTAAGGTTGCACAGATTAACTGTGCTTCCAAAATCAGTTTTAAACCAGTGTAGGTACATCCAACAATTAAGGGACAGATCCTCAGATCACACCTCAGGATGCCTACGATTGTGCATGCCTGTGTGTGCGAGCGCAAGAGAGCAAGCGAGTGTGCACAGAATCTACACAGCAGTGCTGCAGGAGAGAGTTAGTATCTGGTTAGCATCTAAACCTGGCTGGCTCATGCCATGGGTTGCCTATGGAAATCACTTGGCCTCCTTCACACGCATTTTTTGCAAAGAAAGTTGGGGGCAGGGTGAGAACACAAGCAATTAATACAATTGCAGTGCTGTTCTGCAGACCAGTTGCCCTCAGACCAGTTCCTCTTGTTAAAACTAAATGGGCAAGGAAGTCAACTGGGAAAAGTGAGGTGTAACATGGTTTGCAACAGTTCCAGACTGTATCAACCATTTATTGCAACCACAACATTCCAGTTGCTACAGCTGACCTATATGTGGGCCCATTCTAAAATCTTTAGCACAAAAAGCTACAAATGTTTTGCTGCAATTTAAGGTCTCCTACAAGTGAACTGCCCTTCCATTTATTTTCTGCATCCAAATCCAACATCAGAAATCTACTGACAGAGTCATCTACTTCGTTTATCTACCTATGCTTGTAAGTGTGAATTTGAGGCAGAATGATGGTTCGCCTTATACTGTCTCCAGCAGCCCATTGGCAAGACCTGATCAGACTTCCAGAGGCCTTGCAAGCTTTAAACAAGATGCTGCATGGGAGTGGGAGTGCTGCCTGCAGTTTTACTCCTGAGAAAAAAGGAAAGGGTTTCAAAACGGTATGACAAATGCATGTACATTTTACCGGACAATATTCTCTCTTTGGGTTTGTGTGCTTTTACCAGGCATACAGGGACTTGGAGACTTCCTTATAGAGGTGGATCATCCATCAGCCAGGTGAGTCATATAACCAAGTAGACCGCCCCTTTTGCTTCCCTCCAGTCCACTTGGAAGGATAAAGTTGTCCCCCTGAGAGTACCATCGGAACAGCAAGTTCTTTGCTCCATTTACTGAAGGAGCAGGATGGGTGGAAGAGATCGAACTTTGTTCAGAACCTGCTACTTGAAAAACACCCCCTCACTGACCTCAGCAAACCTTCCATCTCAACAAAGAATTTGTACCACCGGACTAGACAACCCAAGATGGCTTGCAAAAGTGAATCAACCTGATGGCAAAGCTACGCAAAACACTGAAAGATGCCAGCACAACGTAGATACCATCACAACGCAGATGCCACAATGCTGGTTGCATAAAGAGATAGCTGCAATATTTAGCAAAGGATTATATTCAACTTAAGGGGTTACAGGAGTGAACAGTGCATCTCTTCTTACTTTAGGCCTAGGCAGTGTGTCCAAGAATACAGCAAGCAAGAACACAGGACCCTGATTTTTGATCCACACAAACTTCCAGAAGCAGCAGAAGTCCTCCATGGCTGGCAAAAGTACACACACGCCATCACCCAGCAGCTGATGATGCAACATTCGCTCGGTTCATTCGGACAAAAATCAAAATAATAAAAGCCACTGTGCTCCCATTTCAAGTTTCTGCATGCACGCCAACCTGCTTACCTCTTATACAAGTCAATCATGCCAATGGAAGGCACATATTCCATTAAGTTGAAGAATCAGGGAAAGAGACAAAGCACACAATTTCAATGAACACTTCAGAATAAAATTAACAAAGAAGCCTGCTAGAAAATCAAAATAAATAAGACAAGACTGTGCAGTCCTTGAATTTAAGCCAAAATCTGCTTCCATGTTTACATTAAACACACATGTGCGTGCGCACACAATCCCAGGTTCACCATTGACCAAGTTTTCCTCCGATGGGAACATGTTGGCCAAGCAACTGTCGATGCAGCGTACGGAACACAGAAGTTGTCAGAAAATTGTTTAATTATTTACAGGGTGATTATTGGAATGATTACATAAAATACAGAAGAAAATGTACACCTCTCACAGAAACAAGAAAGAAGAGATGCTGAGCAAACTCACAGCTGATAAGATAACTAAAGCACTTCAAATAAGGCAAACAAGTAAAGTTACGAAATCAAGAGTCACAAGGACTACAGAGAGGGAAATGGAAATGCAGACTGAGGTTGTGTGTTTTTTCAAATGGAGAAACAAACAAACAAACAAAAAAAAAAACAGAACTCAGGATGGATGATATTTTCTACAGCAAAGTTTGCCCACGCCAGTCGCCATTATTAGAACAGTAGGTGAAGGTCCACCCTGTCTAAGATGGTCTGGAACTTTCCACTCCCAGGACACAAACGTTCTGGCGCTGATGGAGCCAGAGTGCCCCCTGTGTGATGTTTTGTGTTCTACGCCCTACAGAACACATGGTGTTGTGAGTGTACGGTTTCAAAGTCTGCAAGAAACGGGAAACCTTTCCCCCCGCGCTCCTCAACAAGCAGAGGTGACATTAACAGCACTCAAGATATGTTTTTGCTGCCAATACATTTGAAATCCACCCCACTGGCAAAGGGAGCATCTTAAAAAAGCGACTTTGATCCTTGGTTTTCAAATTCTGACCATGCATCATTCAGCTCCATGAAGATCATTTTGGCGTACTGCTCGTATGGCTGCCCCGTGGCCTGAAAATGGAAGAGAACAAGTGTTACTATGTGGCTGCACAATGGCAAGGACAAGGTTTATTTGCCTGGCATGCAGCCACGGAGAAAGCAAGGGGCAGGCCATCCCAGGACCACCATCCACTCAGTGGTATAACCCAGAGCACAACTATACACAACTGGGGTGTTCAACCTCTTCCAGCCCAGGGGACAAAGTCCATCTGGAAAAGCTCTCGGGGGCCACATTCCAGTGGTGCAAAAGGCTGGCAGCAAATGGGGAGGGAGGGGCCAAGAGAGAAGCCGAATTTCATTTAAAGCTCTTGCCACAAGTCACTAAGGATTAGGAGAGGGATTTCAACCTTTGAGAATGCGGCAAAAGCTAGGAAGGGTGACAAAGGATTGGCAGGTGGGTGAGAGGGCATGACCATCTTCAAAACTCCGGAAGACCAAACAGGGGCCTTGGCTAGGCCAGATTTGAGTCCCAAGCCTTAGGTTCTCCATCCCTAGGATGAAGCACAAGGGCTGACCAACCTTAGCACAATTTCTTTCTGGGCTGGGCATTTTCTCCACAAACACTCATTAGCTGGAGAATTGCTTTGAGGCCAGATGTGCTGCCAAATGCACTGAAGCGTAAACAGCTGAATGGGGAGCCCTAATTCTCTCTTTTCCCCACAGCCGCAGCAAGTTTGACTTCCTTGGAGAAGCATAACCCATGGAGACTGCGGAGACCACAGCACCAGGCTCATCCTGCATCATCGGGATGCAGCAACCCGCCCTAAAAGCTGTCCACTATCAATTGTCATCACAATGGAGACAAGCTAGATTTGCCTACGGTTGTTACATACAAGAAGAGGGGATTAAAGGAGAGCAGGCCTTCCCCACCAATCACAGAGATGGGATGGAGGAGCAGGTAGGGTGGCAGGGAAAGCAGGGCCCATTCATACAACCAGATCAACCTACTGCTACAAGCAGTTTTGCCACAGGAACCATGGGACAAACTGCGGCACCAGACTCAGCTACATCGAGTACCGTGCTACACGGCGGTTTCAGGAACTGTGCCGAGCTGTCATGAGCTCACAGAAGGGCTGCTTCACGGACTGCAAACAGCACCAGCCTTCCCCAAGCTGGGGTTCCCTGGATGCGTCTGACTACAACTCCCAGACTCCCCAGCCAGCATGTATGCCAGTTCCTACAAGCAATGCACTTGGCAGAGGGGCAGAAATCACAGCGGGTGTGAAAACCACATCTGTTCACGTGACATGTCTGAATACCCGTGAGAGGAATGCACAGAAGTGAGACTTGCACAGAGCCTCTGTCTGGTTCAAAGGCAAATCCTGTCCAACCTCGTACAGACCTGGCCCAAGTACTGTGCAGCACAGAAGCAAGCATGAGGCACTGTGCCAAGACTGTCTGCTAAGAGTACCTCAAGCAAGGAAGGCGGCCCACTGCATGCATTGCAGGGCGAGGCGAGAGAAGTCCAGGATGACCCGCCAATGGGACGCTTGAGGATCCTACGGATGATCTTAGCACACGGCAGCTTTCCTCAACCCGGGGCCCTCCAGCAGCTTTGGACTGCAACTCCCAGCCAGCGTGGACAATGGCCAGGAATGCAGGGGCCTGTTACCCAAACCTTCTGGGGGGCACCACGGTTAGGAAAGGCTGCATTATGGGTTGATGGACCTTGCTCAAGACAACCAGGCCTGCAAGCAGAGGAGGTGGCAGGACAAGAAGTGGGGATGGGGCCGCGGGTCACTGCCCATCGGTTCTCTCACATAAGCCAAGGAGAGGAGGAGCTGCTCACACTTTCCAACAGCCCTCGCAGGAAAGCCCCGTGGAACTGCAGGTCCCGCCCTTGCTTTTGTTTCCTTTCCAATTACTGTCTAGCGCTATTCTTAAGGAGGTTTAGTGTTCACTTGTATTAGAATGATGAGATCTGTCAGGCCAAGCAAATGTTCAGTCAAGGGCAAAGCAACAGGGAAGCAAGGAGAATGCAGCAAAGGGAGCACGAGCAGGATTCTCCGGCTGCTTGAAGCAGCAAGCAACCCAGATGCTTCTACAGCGGTCGGAGGAAAGCTTGCTTGGGCCTCTTGGTCTCTCTGCAATTCCCTCCTGTCGCCAACAGGTGGCGATGACAGCACACAGGCTGGGATTTCTATCAGGTGCCCCTCTTGTTGCCAGTTCGAGGCCCAAAGCGGACACAGGTTCTGAGAAAGGCATTGTACTACACACTCCATCACTTCGGGCAGGTGCAAGGCATGCTCTGAATCCCAGCGGATCCACCCTGCGAATCTTCCTGCTTCTTTGCGGATGGAACAGAGAGTATGCTGGGAGTGGGTCACTAACCAAAATTGGCAAGAGCTACTTGCCCTTTAGGGATGCAGTAGCGCAGTGGGTTAAACTGCTGAGCTGCTGGGCTGGTTGATCAAAAGGTAGACAGTTCGAATCCACACAACAGGGTGAGTTCTCATGCTTCGTCCCAGCTCCTGCTAACGTTGCAGTTCGAAAGCATATAAATGCAAGTAGATAAAAAGGTACCACTTTGGTGGGAAGGTAACAGCGTTCCGTGCACTTCGGTGTTTAGTCATGCCGGCCGCATGACCACGGAGACTGTCTGTGGACAAACGCTGGCTCCCTTGGCCAGGAAACGGAGATGAGCACCTCCCCCTAGAGTCAGGCATGACTGGACTTATCATCAAGGGGAAGCCTTTACCTTTTTACTTGCCCTTTGGGTGCATGGGAATGGTTTGGCCCTGGAAGTGTGATGGGCCACCACACACTCACCTTATCTGGATGAACAACAAGCACGGCCTTCCTATAGTACTTCTTGACTTGTTCTGGGGTCACTAGGTCTGCCATGCCAACTTGTTTCCATTTGGTTTCGCCTTCCCAGAGTACAGTGTGAAGAGTAGACAATAAGGCTCTTATGTTCCTCTCTTTTCCATCAATCCAATCTAGAATCTGGAGAGGGGAAAAAAGGAATGGGGGGAGAATTCAAATAAACCAAAATCCAAGCCCCCATGTACAATTCTCCATTTTTAATTCTATTTATTGTCTGTAAAGAATATTTAAACAATCACTCTAGAATGTTCATATGGAAATAGTTAGTGCAAGTTTTCAAACCAATTTCCAAGTCAGAGAAGGGAAGGCTAACAGGAAATATTCACTGGAGGGTCTTGGGCCTTGAGAACACATGTTCAAGCAGATGCCTGCTGCCAGCTTCCTATCCACTTATGCCCAGATATCCCATGTCAGTTTCTTCAAACACCAAACCCAGTTGTGCAAAGCTTGGACCATGTGATGCTTCCCACAGGCCCTCAGACCACTGGTTCACCAGATCCAGAAGCATCTTCCTGGACTGGCAGGCCCTCTCCCATGGCCTCCTTTCCCCTTTCCAGTATGGGAACCTCCCAGTCCTGTGACCAGCAACACTTATAAGCCAGGGGTACCAAACTCTTCTTGCCCAAGAGCTGAATTCCACAGTGGAGATGTTCTCGGGGGTCACTTCCCAGTTTTTGCATGGGGATGAAAGCAATGGAGGAAGGTCTAAAGGCAGAAGAGCAGCCCCCCCCCCCGTACCACTGCATATTAGCTTAATCTCCATGCTTACAGTGTTAAGCCTTTATAAAGGAGAAGCATTTCAGACTAGGGAAAGAGCTGCACCTAGACTGAGACACCTTCAAATGAGGGTGGTTAGGAAGGGGGCACAGTCTCCTGGGGATTCCAGAGGGGCTGGATTTGGGGCCCTCGGCAGAGTTACCACATCCCTGCTTGAAGCAGAGATGCCCCAGACTGAATCTGGGATCCTCTGCCAGCTCACCATGTCTGCCACTGCTGCACTGAAGTTCCTCACCTTCCCCATCCTGACAACTCCAGTCTTCCCCTACCCAACTCCCTCCTCTTCACCTTGAGCAGTGGGAACCCCTCACTGTCATATACAGTATACGACTTGCTTGTTTGGGGCCTAACACACATGAAGAAGTGGTGGGATGGGAAGCAAGCAGTATATAAACAGCAAACCTTTAGTTTTAGAGGATCCATATCTTTAGTCATTTCTTGCTTTCTCATTTCAGCAATTGTCTTTGGTCCCTTTTTGTCAGATTTTGCCGAAAACCCTTGATTCGACAAAAGATCCTCAAAGTCATTTTCTGAAACTTTGTGTTTTTGGCCTGGGGAACAAGATAAAAATGTTTAAGTTCCCTGAAAAGTTGGGTGGGGGGGGGGATCCAATCTCTTTTCAGCCACAAATTCTTTCAATAGCATCAGGTGTTACAAAACACACTTCCGCACAGATCTGCTCAGAAGTAATCCCAGTTACTTTGTTGGGACTTACTCTCAGGGAACTGCACAGAGGAACTGCAGCCTACAGTCTCCTCTGCCATTTAATCACAGGACTTACCAAAGCCAGGTATGCGGATGCCTCTTTCCTCCCGCCCTCCAATGACACTGAAATTCACAGTGTAGTTTGGTTTTGGTTGCGCACTTGGCTTGGCTTGCTCCGCTGCTTTTGGCTGCGATGGGGACTGCCATGATGTGCCAGCAGCCTGCTGTTTGCTTGCCTGCCACTGGCTTCCGGCTTTTTTGGATGGAGCAGATTTTGGAGTAAAACTGCCTGCTGGGAATCCTCCACTAGAAGCACCTGGACAACAAGGATCAAGGACAGGGGTTGGTTGGTTGCTTTTTAATGTAAAGAAACTCCATTTTGCTTAACCCCATGATCTGAGTGCCGCCTCATCACTACCAAATATGCATGATTCTAAAACATGATCATCCATAATGGGGGTGCCAATTCTTCGGCCCACAGGTCATATTTAGGTCCCCTGCGGTCACAGTCATGACTACACCTCCTTCCCAGTTCAAGCTCCTTTCCCCAACCCTTTGGTGGTTTCCTGGCTTTCCCTCTCCTTTCTAAAAGGCTAAAATGCCTCTCCTAAGACTTAACCAAGGGCAGCAAGAGCTTTAAGCAAAGTAGGTGGGTGTTTCTACTACTCTGGCCCTGTGCCCTCAGCTCCACCCACCCACAGAATGCAACTCAGTGCTTCTCCAAAACTAAACCTGGCTCTCCTGCAAAAAGAGTTTTGATGCTCACAATGTAAAAGCATATGTCTACTGAGATGGACTGCAAGGCGATCAAACCGGTCACTCCTAGAGGAGAACAACCCTGACTGCTCTTTAGAAGGCCAGATACTGAAGATGAAACTCAAATACTCTGGCCACCTAATGAGAAGGAAGGACTCCCTGGAGAAGAGCCTAATGCTGGGAACAATTGACGGCAAAAGAAGGAGGAGACGGCAGAGGATGAGGTGGCTAGAGGGAGTCACTGAAGCAGTTGGTGTGAGCTTAGGTGGACTCCAGGGAATGGTGGAGGACAGGAGAGCCTGGAGGAATGTTGTCCATGGGGTTGTGATGGGTCGGATGCGACTTCGCAACTAAGAACAACAACTACTGAGATGGGCTGAAAGGCATGGCTAGCCTAGAAGAAATTATTACAATAAGCACAGCAACAAAATGAGAAGGTGCCAAAGAACTTCTCGTGACAGTTTATCTCATATGATGGCCCTCCTCCTCTGGCCATCACAATGCACCCCTAGGACATCTACAGAGTTTCTTCAAACAAGCTCTGGGAAACTTCTTGAAACCCACACTGGTGGGAGAAGGGCTTCTGAATGCTTTTGCAACTCACAGATGGTTACACAACACCCCCCTCCCCAACTACACAGAGCCCAATCTGGCAGCCTTGAGGAGAAGCAAATGCGCTCCTGCCGCCCTGTAACTAGCACACCCCCGAGTTACACAAAGGTTCCAGAGGTCATACCTCCAGTTCCATTCCGGATATGCTCTTAACCTGTCAAGCTGCCTGTCAGACACCAAAACACTGAATATTCCTACATGCTGCCACCATTCAATTCAGGCTCCTACGCAGTTCCTACAGATTAACCTTGACTGTGCAGAAACAAAACGCAGGAGGCAGGCTAGAGTCAAGCATGCTTCTATTTCTGCGCATGAAAGCCTCTAGGGAGAGTGTGTGATACCGAAAGCAACAGCCCTCCCCGCCCCCCGCAAACTGAATCGGATTTGTGAAAGGCTGTCCTTGAAGGTGAAAGTAGTAGAAGGCTTCAGATACAGTAGTACCTTGGTTCACAAACTCAATTCGTTCCAAGTTCTGGTCGTGAACCAAATTGGTTGCGGACCGAGTCAAATTTCCCCATAAGGTTCAATGTAAATAAGGTTTCTCCGTTCTGAACCGTATGTTTTTTTTTTTTAACCACAAAAATATGAAACAAAGTACAGTATGAAGAGAGAGAACACTAATCTTGCTTGAGGCAACTTCTGGCATGGAAGACAGGAAGGTGGGTGGGGAGGAGGTTATCATTTGGAGGGAGAGTCTGTGACCACAATCTCAACTAGAGGAAGCCGTGTCAGAGCGGGGAAGATGGCCGTGTTCGTGTTCATGCGAACACAAACACGGCCATCTTCCCCACTCGAACACACTCTGACATGTGGTTGCGGTGCAGGGAAGATGACCGCGATCATGTTCGTCACCCAATGCGGAGTTCGTGAACAGAAGCAAAATTTTGCCGAACTTTCTGTTCGCAAACCGAATTGTTTGAGAACAGAAGTGTTCGTGAACTGAGGTATTACTGTACATCACTAAGCTGTCTGTAAACTAAGGAAGCAGCTGCTTGACTTTAAAACAACTCATTTACTGTGCAAATCCCCAACTTGCCGCATTATCCATTATCTCATTAGTCATATTATTCACCCTAAAAGACATTTAAGAGACCAACACTCCCATTTTTCCTTTATCAGTCACCCACATACTTACCTGGGAGGCCAGTTCTCAGGTTGGCTAGGTCAGCAAAAGGGTCAAAATTCTGCAACTTTGCTTGGCTGAACGAAAGGCCCGAGGAAGCACTTGCTGGGCTGCTTGTTGTAAAAGCTTTGCCTGCAAGGAAAAATGCCATTGCTGTGCTTTACCAAATGGCCCATTCGTGCTGGCAAACACCCTTATGATCTCAGGCCCAATTAACTGCGCTACTTTTGAAGGTCAGCTGTCTGGGTATAATACGAGTCAAGAAGAAAACTTTGCACAATTTACCAAGCAGTAAGTGAGCTATCCAATGGAAAGCTTTCTTCAAGAAACTTGGGCAGTGTAAGAGCAAAAAACAGGACTGGCTTGGTGATTAGTTACAGTTTTTTCCTGAAACTATAAACAAAAATATCTTATAAGGGCTCTTGCTAGATTTGTTTGTTACACTGCAAGGGTCAATGAGCTTGTGAAAATGAAAATATGCATTGACTGTGCACATGACAACCTTGTTCCATTTGATTCATTTTGCTCTGTTTTAGAAAGCTAAACATTACACAGATAACACTGAGCCCAGTCTTAGATTCTGCCCTATACTTGAACTATGCAGGCTTTGGGGCAGAATCCAAAGGGCACTTTTACTTCCCGATTCTCTTGATTCTGTCTTGCCAACAGTGGGTCTCGCCAATTCCAGAGTGTCAGCAGGACCCACTGCTTACACACAGACATTTAGCACATCCCAGAGAAAGCCCTGAAACAAGTGGAAACTTGCTTCTGGATAGGGCCAGATCGGTGGAATTACCTTGTGTGAGCGTCACCGACCCACTCCATTCCAGAAATGAACATTACACTTATTTCTGGTTGTTCCGGAAGGGTTAAATCTCCCTTCTGCACATGGTACAGGAATTAGTGAGGCATATGGGAAGTGACAGAGGTTCCCCCCAGAGTGTGTGGGTGGTAAAAAAAAAAAAAGAAAACACAGTTATATCATGTCTGTGTGGGGGGGCCCTAAAGTACAAACTGTGGGACAGCAAGCTTTGTGGTATGTAAAATAGGGACTGAGGTTCCAGGTCTAAATTACATCATACCCCACCCCAAAAAGCAGCATTGTGGCACACACAAATACCAAAAACGATAATATAATGAAAAACCCACCCAAACTAATAGGAACCATGATCTGCACAACAATGACAATCAAAATAACCAACATAACACACAATCTGAAAATGGTGCAGGGTGAAAAGCTCACAGTAAGCCACATTCCCCCATGCCAGCACAAAACAAATGCCACAAAAGCAGCCCCTAACAGCTGGGCCAGAACAAATGCCCACATGCAAGAGGAAACCAGCAGGTCTTTGCCATGTAAGAAATACTTGAATTCTGCCCTCTCTGAACAGAATGGGGCCTGCCTACATCACCCTTCCGAGCTTTCCAGCTCTAGCACTAAGTAAAATATGTGTTTGTGCTTAAAGTCCTGCATTTGCTTCCTTTTCTTCAATATATGCGTCCCTCACTTAGAGCTGTGCGCGTCTTGTTTGGTCCAGTGGGACTGGCACATCAGTAACTGCAGACAGGAAAGCAGACCATTTCTCTGATGTTGAAAAAGAGGACATAGCCAAGTCTCTCACACATCTGCAGTAATGAATTCTCTTTAGCCAAATGCCAGACCCCCGTGTGACTAGTAGCTTTGCATGGCTGCATCCGGCAGCGGAACTGCCTTGCTTGTTACCTTCCAAAGTGGCCTTCTTGGGTGCTGCTGGTGTTGTGGTGCCAAGTGGTGCGGAATCTGCCCAAGAGTCCCAGCCTCCTAAAAGGTCCGGCTGGCTGGCAGAGGAAGCAATTTTTGGAGGGTCCGGTGTCAGATTTCCTTGAGAGAGAGAAACCCAAACCCACATGTTAGGAGACGAGCACTCCCCACACACACACACACAATCCTACAGATTCAAGTGATACTGAATTTTTTAAAAATAAGTTCTTTCTATTCAAGGGGGTTTATTTTGCATATTTTCCATAAATCTATTTCTATATATATTGAAAAAAATAGGAATGCCCCAATTCTTCCCCCACTTTCCTGAAGAAGTTAATACTGTTATTAAAAGAGAAAATGAGTAAAAAGTGTTATTATTTTACGACAACAGTATCCTCTATGGGTGTGTACATAGCACTAAAATTGATACAGATTTAGATAAGGCAGTTTGGAAAAAGAACTCAATGGTTAGAACTTTTTTTCCTGTTTTTCAGATGTAGATGAAATTAGCAAGCCTAATGGCTCCCTGGAAAGGAATTATTCCTGCCAAACTTCAGAAAAATAAGTGCTGTGGACTTTCTACTACACACCTTTATATTGTCATGTTTTTTTAAATATAACATTTTTATTTCTTGGCAGAATGGGTGAAACTTGCAGGGATAGTTGCCCCTTCTGAAGACTGCCATATTTTGGGCTAATAGGTACAAGAGCAGTCTTACATTTTGAGGGTATCTAAAATGAGATGCAAAGTCCTTTGTGTGTCTTGTGAACTATTTTTCTGAACGTGACAGACAACACAGGGGTGGCCCTAAATTAGGAAAGAGAAGTTCAAGAAGGATAGGAGCAGCAGTTCAATGTGGAAGGGAAATCCTCATTTTTCCCCCTCTTTCTTTTTTGCCAACATGCGGAAAAGAGAATGATTAATATCTCCTGTCTGTCCCCAGGTGGTTTTTCTAGGCAATCTACATGAAAGTGGTGCACATCACAGAAGTATCCCTACAAAAGAAACCTGCAAAGTTTCAGAAGGATAGGTGCAGCACATAGAGTAGTATAATAATAAAGAACCACCTTGATTGCTTTTTATACTGAAGCCTGCTTACATTGAAAGAATGAACATCTCACCATTCTATCCTTGCCCTCCCAAAGCACAATGATTGGCAAGCTTCTGGCCACCGGATTAGAAGCTGGACGTGTCAGTTACTCAGAATCCTCCTTTCTCCCACCACATCAGAAGATACTTGTCTGCCTTTCTGAAGCTTAATCACAAATGAGGCCTCCTACCAAGTCCAGGCTTGGCTCTGGTCACTTGTAGGGAAGCCTGCTCCATGTTCAGAACCATCAGAAAAGGTCCAAAGGTGCCCAATCCAGCTAAGGCTTTGCATATTCAAAATACCTTGCTTAAGGTATTACGGAAGAAAGGGCAGAGTAAGAGTGTGATTCTCTGAAGGCCACACCATAAGCCTTTAGGGATATCAGGAGCTGAAGTCCTGATTTCCCCAGCCCAAGTTCAAGCACATGCTGCCTTCATTGCATTAACCACTAGCTCTATCTCCATGACTACGTGCAAAGGGTCTGATATTCTTTCACGTGGGTCACTCAGACCACAAAGAGCAAAACTTTACAGAAAGCACACATATGCCCCGGAAGGGTCCAGGTTTCACAAACCAAACCTGAAGGCCAGAGCCATCCTCCAAGCTATTGATGCATTCTGAGCTGCAGCAGGAGCTGGGACTGTATGACAATAAGACTTTTGTTCCACCCTGAGGAAATAGCTGCAGCAGGCACATTGAGAGTTCCCTTCAAAAAGGAAATGGTTCACACCATACCAAGAAAGTCTCAAGTTCACAGGGAGCATTCCCTGTACTTCAGGTAGCTTTACCCCCTTTCAAACACTGAACCATAGTGGAATATCCTCAACTTACACATATTTTTGGATTTTTACAGAATGTTTCTATTCTAAACATAATCCCCTTTTTGTAGGAACTGTGAACCAGAAGGTATATGAAATAATTTAATACACTTCCAAATGGCATGAACTGTTTGGCCCTTTCCTATAAACAATTGCTTCAGGACGCCACCCAAATTGATTGGCTGCAGCTTTGGGACAGGTACTTCTATACATAATGCACACCTAAATTATGGAACTCTTCACTCCAAGGTACAGGAACCAATAGCTTAAAATTAGCTTTATCCCTCATAATTTGTTTATCGATATGCATCTAATCATGGTATCATATGCAGAGAAGGTTTATCTGCTGGGGCACACAAGGATATGTCTTCATATTTAACTGGATGGACCTCTGAGTTAACCCAGCAGATCTGTTTTGTTCTTGAAATTCAACCCTGAGTGCAAAAAGATCAGCCTAGTTTAGCATTCTGACTACGTAACAGTCACCCTCCACCAGAATGTTTCACGTGATGGTTCCTCACAATCTGGTAGCACCAAAGCTGCTCTTTAACATTTTGTGCTGATAACCAGCAGCAGATAGGCTAGTTCAGTCACATATTCACACACCCTTGATTTAAAGACTAAGCAGGCTTCCTGTTATTAGAACACTTATTAGCAATGCCATTTTTTATATTTAAAAATCCTGGTTAACATTTGTGATCAACCACAAATGGATCCTTCCATTTTTCAAGGAACTAAAAAATAAATAAAAATGAATCTGTAGCTGTATTCAAGGTAAGATGAGCCATGAATACAATGGACATATGCAGATCCCTAACACCATAGTTGGTGAAAGCAACCATGATAGCAGCCAATAACCAGAGAGTTAAGTCATTCCTCTCCCATGATCAAGACCCTGGAGAAAATACGGTTGGCAGGCTTGATCTGACATAGTTTCTCTGCCTAGAAAGGCTGAGAGAGACTTAGCAGGAATGACTTCTGAGTGGCACTGAAAGGAGAAGCCAAACTCATTAAAACTCTTCTTCCTACTGTACCAATCAAGGTCCTGAATTCTGTCAGTTGACAAAATCTGTCAGCTATGAGCATCTAATGTCAAATGAGCGGCACATGGAAAGCTTAGGTTAGGGGACAAAAGGTATAAAGAAGAAGTCAAAGCTGAAGGCAGAAGAGCCACAGTTGTTCAACCTGAATTAAGAAATTGAAAGACGGGGAGACTGGGAGATCTCTGTCACACCTTGGAAAGGAAGAAGAAAGTTTCTAGGACTGCCACCAGGTGAGGGAGGGACCACTCCTCAGGGGGAGGTGGAATGGAACATCCCATCACATTATGGGATGACCTGGAATGAAATGCCACCATCCCATCCTGTTTAAAAGGAGATGGCTGCAGCTTTACCACAACAGGCCTGGAAATTAACCACTCTACAAACCCAAGAGTTTAGCATGTAAATACTCCAGCTCACAGTAAAGCACTCCAAATGATACGAACCAGGTATTTTTACCTAGCTTATGTAGAGGATCGAGGAATGGTATGAACAACACTGCTGCTGTTCATTGGTTAAAATGAGTGCCTGTTGTAAACAATCCTTTTAGGCCCGAAGCGACATTCCACATTTTCAAAAAGTGTCCTAGACCTACCACAAAATGCTGTGTTGAGAGGGGGACAATGTTGGAAATGCCCCCCTTGAACAGAAGTCCTCTGTCCAAAAAGCAAAACAAAACAAAAAAGCAGCCAAGGGGTGAGGGCAAGAAAAACAAGAACGCATCTCGCTCCACTGACTTGAACAGAGACGAGGAAAAGCGTGTCCATCAGGAGATGAAGGAGCAGTGGCGGGGCTTTTGGAGGATGCTGCATTGCTGGGTCCCGCTTTACACTATTAGCTTCAACGGCAGATTTCCCCACTGCTTCTGTGCTAGTGGGCATCCTGCAAAGCTTAAGACCTCCTGGTGTGCAGAAGATCTCTAATTCAATTCTCTAATTAAAGAGGACAGCCAGGATTTCCTGAGAATCGAGATACAGGTTTAGCATGCCGTAAGATTTAAGCCTGTCTAATACTCATGACAACACATCCCAGCTCTTCATTATCTAATCATCCCCCTCTAGAAAAAGCACTGTGGTTCCACTGAAAGCTTGCCTGCTCGCATTCACTGTCTTCTGAGCCGGTGTGTTTGTTCCGTTGGGCTGCGGACTTGCTGCCAGGCTTCTGGAGCACCCAACACTGCAAATCTAACCCTCAACAAAAGGATTCTCCACCTCTCCTGAGCATCCTCCCAAGCACATCAGGAGCTGCCAGACGCTCACTAGTGTGGAAAGCCTACCCTCCTCCTCTTAAACAGACTCTGAAGGAAAGAGCAGGGAAAGCCAAGTTCCCAGTCTTAAGGGCAAGAGAATTAAAATGTAAAAAGGGAGGGCCTTAAACTCAATTGTAAGAGCACATGCTTGGCACTGCCAGTTCAGTCCCCTGCACCCTCCCCAGTTAAGGAGTTCAGGTGCAGGGTTAGGGGGAAAGTCAACTTGAGGCCTTCAGGGCCAGGCTTCCCTGCTCTGGTGTTCTCCAGATGTGTTGCACTACAACTCCCATCATCCCAAGCCAACACAAACTAGAGTAGACAATACTAGAGGAGATACAGCGAGGTCTGACTCAATATAAGGCAAGTATAAATGACTCTGCTTTAATGAGGAGCGAATGCAGGATGCGTGTGAGCAGGATCTTGCACATGCATACAGTCCAACACATCTGAGAATGTTCATATACTACCAGCACATGCAGAGAATGCTACACATAATGTCTGGGCAAAGGAATTCCTCTGAATGACTTCATGCTTTGCCAAAGAGAACATGGCTAAACAGCCAAGTGTTTCATTGCAAAGCAGGAAACGATGAAGAACAATCTTGCTTCTGCACTGAGGAACACCCCAGTCCTTTCAGAAGTTTATACCAGAAACAGTTCGCTCAGCAAGGCCTAGAGCAAATGGGAGTTGTAGGCCAAAGCTTCTGGAAGACCACAAGCTGCCCACCCTAGGATAGAGTATGGCCACGTTTCCAGCCTACATTCCAGCTTACAGTTACATATAATTCTTGTGTGAACACTCATAGTTAACTTAAAATTAAGTTAGCAAATATATGCATGTGAAAGGGCATGGGAAGCACTAGAATCTATTGAATTAAATACACACACACACACACACACACGCCAAGAGCACACGGGAATTTCTTCCTGATTTTGAACAAGTAGGTCACCCATGTAATAGTGCAATTGTACCCTTCTTTTGCAGCAGGTTCACCGCCACTAATAGCCTGCTACTCTCTGGGCACCTAAATTTTAAGGGCAGCCCCCCCTTTTTTTTGCAATGGGGATTTTCTGTGGCTTTTGACATGTCCAGATTCTTTCTTTTGCTCAACAATGGCTTAAACTTCAACCCAAGGATCAACAAGATACTGGTTTTCCTAAGACGATTGCAGTTTTTGTTCTGTGTCCACAAGGCAGCGACCCTGTGACAGCCCTCTGACCTCAGAAGGAGAGCCAGAGATCTGGCACTCTGATCTTGGAAGGGGGACGGAAAGAACCATTCAGACTGCCCTTTGCAGGTGGAAAAGTGACCTTGGAGAGGAGGAATGGGGGCCTTTTGGTGGATGGGGAGGAGGTACCCTAAGCCTCATCCAGCCTCCCTCCCTCTCCTTCTGAAGCCTATCCAGCAAAATCTGCAGGGCAGGAGCTCAAGGAGGCAAAGATCACCTCCACCGTTCCTCCCTGCTTCATTGTGATCCAGTATCGTCAGATGCTTCCAGCTGATCGTGACCTAAACGTCTCACTCGAGCTATGTCTTCCTTTCACGTTCCCACAATAAGCTTTTGTTCCAGTGGCCATGGTGGACTTCCAGTGGGGTGTTCTAGGTTCCCTAGCAGGTTTCCAAATTACCAGTAACCTGCTCACAGCAGAAATGACCAGGCACATAGTCAGTAGGGTTACCAAACAGGAAAGTTTCCTGAATCTTAATTTGTTGTTTTTCAGGTTAAAAGTTAGATGTGGTAAAGCAGTTTAATCTAAACTGAAATTAGGGGCTTGTAATTTTAGAGGACTTCTTCATCAGATTGTCCTTTAAGGATGATCTTCCTGTGTCCCTGTGCTCAGAAACACTACTACATTTGACAACAAGCTACATACAAGATGAAACTATTATGAAGGGTTATTAACAATGAGCTCCATGACCATATAAAGTTATACAAGGAGCTGAGAGTTATTAACCACAAAGGTCGTGGCCTTATAAAGTTATACAAGGAAAAAGGCACACACATAGTTAAACATATTCAATATATCTTCTGAAGCTTCATGGATTACTGGTAGGCAAGTTCTTCCTGCCAAGGAGTTCGTGGAGTGTATTTGCACTTCTCCCCTTATGTCCTAAGTAACTTTTTTACATGTAGATCAGATTGGGATACTTGCTCAAAGTCACTCAAGGAAGCTTCATGGCTGAGTAAGAATCTGAATCATCGCCAGTATCTTGAACTACCACTTGAGCTACTAGTCCACACTGAGTTCAAGGCACTGATAACCTGTGACTTTCTGGCTATACATAGCTTTTTCAATTCAATCTAACAAACTTAATATTTCTGTGCCAGTAAGCATGAGTCAACACGTACTGCATATTCTCTTACAGAATATGAATGTGAATCCAGACCATATCCTACATTTCTAGTAGCTTGATTTAGTAATCTCTATTAGGCTTCATTTTCTTCTCTCTCTCTCGCCTGAGAACAGTGCAAACAGAAATTGTATCCAGTTTCTCATATTCTATAAAGAAAATTGGGTTTTCACCTGTTGAAATCCATCATTTTGTGAAGTATCAGTTACTTCAGTACACAAGCACTATGCAGAAGGGAATTCTGTATCCAAAAGCTTTTAGCAATATATACTGTTGTACATACAGATGGAACAGCCAAAAATGGTGAATACATGGCCACTTTAGCCCAGGCTATTTCTCCATTATGCAGTTCACAGTGCAAAACTCCCCCCAGGCCAACAGCTCGCTGCCCAGGAGTGTCTCACAGCAAGCTCATTAGATCACACCCACAGACCACACATAATAATTTTAGAAAGATCCTTTGCACTTTCCCTAAGGTGCAAAGTGGATGCTATTTTTGTGCCATTAAGCCAGCGACAGAGATCTCTTCCTGATGCCACAACCAGCTATTTATAGGTTTAATCAGGACAACAAACATGTGCGTACTTCCGATGGCAGTTCAGAGTTATTACATGATCAAGGCTATTGCACACATTTCATTCACACACACACAGCAAGAGCTTTTCTATATTGGGTGCTACAGATACTGTGTTCCAAAGCAAATAGGCCCACAAACAAGGGGAGTTTAATGAAGTGGGAAGGAAAAGGGGAAAGTGTAAGCAGGTCAGTCCAGCCCTCTCAGTGCCCCATGGAGAATAAATGCTTCTGTACAGTTAAAAAAAAATGCTGGTGCTGTGGCTCCAACATGCATGGACCTTTACACTTTAATTGTGCAAAGAACATAGACTTCTTGTCACAGAATAAAATGAGATCATCTCTACATGTAGGCTTGGGTGTTTGATTGGAGCTGTGGAGAGTGCATTAAATTAACCAAGTTCTCACCAGCAGTTTGACTGAAAGTGAAGAAGCATATCATAATCATTGCAGATGCCTGTCCATGGTAGAGGAAGGACAAAACATTTGGAAGACAAGTTGCCCATCTCTAATTTTCAATGAAATGAAGCAGTGGCTGTCTGAAGACTTTAAAATGACAAATTGTTTTGTTTTGACTGCCAATTTATGCTTTTGCATTAGGACACAATGTCATTCATTGTTGCATTTTGCGCCTTTAGGATTTCAGAGATCTAAAATGGAACTTCCAATTTTGATATCTCCAATTTCATGATATTTTTCAAATGGCAGTTGCTATTTTCCATACAGCACAATTAATCATTTGTATCACTAGTGCTTCAGTATTTGCTTTCTGATCTAAGAGGCGCCATAAATTAAGCCAGTTTTCCAAGTGTTCATTCACACAAGAGGCAGGCAACAGCAGGTCTGTAGGAACCCCACTCTTGGAAGAAGTACAAAAAAGACCCTTTAGGAAAAATATTCTTGGGAGGACCACTGCAAGCACAGCCAATGGGGACTTAGGACCCCCAGTTGCTATGGAATAGCGAGCAGGGAGTGGGGTGGATGGAAAACCAGAGGAAATGAAATCAACTCTCCTGGAGGAATGCAGGATTCTAGCCAGCAAGGCATAAACAGGAATGTTCCACACTGCAACATTTTGCTGCAGGTCCCCTTAAAATTTTTGTTAAGAGCTTGTCTTGACTGTTTAGTTTCAAATAAAAAAAGGTGACAGCAGGCTACCTGCACTGCACAGAATTAAACTAATAAGATTAGCTCCTGGTTAAAATACAGGTGATCTATAAGTATCACAACATGCAAAATGTAACTATTAAATACAATGCTAGATACCAATGAGTAAGGATGACACTAATCTGTACAGAGAGTCTTAGGGGGAAACGATGAGCCAAAATAGTGTCATCGTCATACAAACTGAGAGAAACGTTTATTACTAAGCACCAGCAACATACAGGAACCAAAGGAGCTCTCTGAAGGCAGGGATGGCCAAGCAGGGGCTGGTGGGGTCGCTGCATCCCTGAAGGAATTAGTCCTGCTTCCGGCCACTCGTGGCCCTACAAAAGTGTTGCGTCCAAGTGTGGCACCTGTTTGCCCACGGTTCCCCTCTTACAGGAAAATGTATTCAATTTATAGGGAACAGGAACACTAGCACTGCCAGCCTGGTGCAATGCTAGAACGTCGGACCAGGGAACTGGGGGAACTGGGTTCTAGTCCCTACTTGGCCATGAAGCTCAGTGGGTGCCTTTGGGCCAACCTACCTCAGACGGTTGTTGTTGGGAGGATAAAATGGAGCTACATAAGCCAACTCGGGTTTTGCACAAGATGAAAAAGGTGGGATATCAATGCAATATAGTAGTAGTAATAATAATACAATATCACACCTCTCTTTGGTTTTGCATGCAACACTTCAGCTATGTCTGAGCTGTGCTGTAACTGTGCTTAAGTGATAGATGGCCTGAGCAGCTGTGTGGCATGCAGTCTGCATGGCAAAAGAGACTTTTAGCTCCCAGTTTACTGTGGGCAAGGGAGTGGCTGATGAGAATACAGATGTTGGCAACCCCTGCTGTAAAGGTATTGCATCTTTCTGAAGTGGAGAGGGGTCATTTTGAGAAGCAGTGTCCTGTGTCCCCAGCTCAACTCCGTTCATACACAAAAAGGGTAAAGCCACACCAGCAGAATGCTAGCCACATTAGAGTGGAAACAGGAAGCATACACCCGTGGCACAAAGCTTGCTAAAATAGCAACACCATCAAGTTGATCCATTAGATGCTAATCCACCTTGACTAATCTGAGTGGCGCGCGTCACTCAACAGTCCACGTGATGTGGGACAGGGAAAGGAGGGGAGGAAGGAAATCATGACAAACATGCACTTACCTAAATTAAGGAAGTCTGTGCTAGAGGAAGGAGGTGGTGCACTGTGTGCAGAAGGAAACATACCAGATACGGTTGGTGCATTTGAGCTAAGGAAGTCGCCGAAAAGATCTGGGCCGGTAAGGTTTGGATTGTCGGGGTTGACTGTGAACGGGTCAAATGGATCAGCTGAAGACAAAAGCAACATGGTTGGCTTTACTTGAGATGCTTCTGGAATTAAGTCACAGACAAAAATGAGAATCTGCTCGTGTGTGTACAGCAGGCAGGAGGAAGTGTTGCTGATACAGCAGGACACCTTCTTCCTAGCTGCCAAGCTCTTTGCCAAGAGGACCAAGAATGGCCTTCCCTCCAGATGGGCTGGACTACAGATTCCATAATCCCCAGCCAGTTTATGGGACAGGAGAGGCTGTCCCATACTCTTTAGATCTAAAGAGTACTTTAGATACTCTTACATAACACAAGGATTTCTGTTCATCAGCAAGGAAAACAATGATCTTTTAAGATAATTCCTTAGGTGGACATTCACCTTGCTAAACCATTTCCTTACCCTCTACAAGGAAAAACCGCCAACCCCTCCAATGTCAGTCAGCCAAGCCAGAGCAGTTCATAATTCCACCAAGGAAAGTTAAGTCACTAATGGGAATTTACTACAAAGGAGTCAAGAACAGGAAGAAGCTGGCAGGCTCTTCTCACAGCGAAGTAACCAAAAGAAACTAGTTACTCTAGGGGATAAGATGAAAGGTACTGTACCAGTTTGAATGGAAGGCATGGCTGAGTATTATTTTTCCCTCTAGAAGAATGCAGAAAAAGCCAAAGAAGCAGCAGAAGGATGCAGAGAGGCTGTCTCCAGCTGGAAGGTCTTTTCACTGCCCACTGCCAAGAAGCCGCTAATTGGAGCTGCTCAGGGAACAGTACTTATACTCAGCAGGGAGTGGCATGCAGCGGCCAGCAGGAAGCCTGGCTACCTTGTAACCGGTGCCCTCAAAGGTCAAGATCCTTTGAGAGCCAAGCCTCTGCCAGCATTCTCACTCTTAGCAGCTAAGAGCCAGGACAGCCAACTGGGAAGAGCTTTGCACAGATAAACAGCCACAATTACAGGTGGGTATTGAAGCCCATGCACTCTATTTGCATCAGATTTCAGCAGAGTCTACTAGTGAGCAGGGAAGTTTTCCGAATCAGCTGAGGTTCCACATACTATTGGGCACCTGAAAGCATCTGAAATAATCACAGCACTGCTGCTTTCATGTGATGCCAAGATATATTTAAAGGACCTCAGATTTACTTCCTTGCTGAATGCACGTTTTGTTAAACAACAATAAGCCCCCTACTCTTGCCTTCTTCAAACTCCGATCAGTTCATGAAACATCGAGATGTTAAACTGCTCTTCCATTAGATTCTTAGTGCAGGGACAGTAACTGTCAGGAAGCTGACCCTCTTTACCACTCGACCAATAGCATCTGGCTCTCTCCCACTGTCGATGCAGGAAACCCTATACCCACCCACCCACTTACCTATTTACAGAATTTCTACCCCATCCTTAACAGTGTCTCAGGATGGCTTACAACATAGGATGATGCACTGACAAATAAGCTATTGCTCATGTTGGATCATGCTGAAGTGCAAAACTGACCTGATGCTGTTATTGGTTATTAAATAGATGCACCTCTTGTAAATTAGCAGTTAGCCTGCGGAGAGGCCAGGAGGCTTTCCCATTCTCCTAAGGCAGGGGAAGACCGACCCAGGATCCACAAAGCTCCTTTGTGTGATCAGCTAAGCCAAGTGGGTTTCACAGCTCACTGACCAACTCCATGTTCTCTTCCTCCACGTCTCAAACGCACACGTCTCTACCACCAACACATGTTCTGTTTTGCTGCAACCACCAAGGCTAGAAAGGTGCCCTTTAAAAGGGTACATTTACTCAGCTTTCTTGAGAGGACAACCAAGGGAAGGGAAGCGCCGGCTACATACCAGTGGAGGAAGCGGTGGCTGCTGTCGCGGGAGTGTTTCCCTGGGAGTTTGCTGCAGGCTGGGCCTGGCCACTGAAGAAGAAGTCTGCTCCTCCACCCAGGAGGTCTGCAGTTGAGTCTTCCGTACTCTCAGGCACGCCGGCCACGAACAGGTCGCTCAGCAAGTCCGCGTTGCTTGAGGAACTCTTCATCCCTGAAGGAGGCTGGAGCAGTTCAGGTGGGGCTTCTGAATCCAGTCCAAGCAAGTCAACACTGTCTTCCACATGAGAGTCAGCAGTGGGGGCATCGAAGTCCGCTTCAAACAGCTGCTCGCCATCCGCCTTTTCCGAAGTTGGCTTCTCCCTTTCCTCAGAGGGTCTAGCATCTCCAGGAAACACAGCGAATTCTTCTTCAGAAAGCTCACTGTCATTCCTTTCTTCAGTTAGCCCTGGACTATCCTTTGAAAAGTGGCTCTCAGGTGCGACTTCTGAGTTTTTGCCTTCTGTGCAGAGAAGAGAACACCAAAATGTTCTTGCCACAGGTTCACTTTATTCTAGCAGTCAGTGACTTGTTGTCCTGGAGGGTAATTCTGATCATGGGGCAAGGGGTCCAACCGCCATTCCTCAAACTGGCCCGCTGCCAAGGCCTCTTGCCAAGGTCTCCTTTCCCTCCTTTTTGCCTCCAGGCTAGCAACCGTAATGGAAAGGTGGCCAGACACGGCTTAGCAGCCTCCCGTTGCCAGGCCCTGCCCTAGTTAAAGGAGAGGGGTGATGCTCCAGGATACAGCCCTACTATGAGAGAAGAGACTGCTTTGGGAGGCCTCAGCTAGTCAAATCCCAGGAGAGCCAAGGAAGAAAGCAAATGCTTTACTGGCTTTACTCCTCTAGCAGAAGCAGCAAGAGCAATGCTGGTTTTTCATTGCCGTGAGCTCTCCTTCTCTGGGCTCTGGAGGGCCCCTCAACTGGGAATGGTCTGTGGGGGTCAAGCCAGAAAGGAGCAAGGCAGCCGGCCACACCCCTGCATCCCGCTGCACCATCACAGGGCCTTTTCGGACATGTGCGTACCTGACGGCAGGTCAGAGGCAGCGTCACAGGCTTCAGCTTTTCTCAGAACAGACTGTGAACGGCCTGGTGAGAAATGTCGAACGTTTGTAGCAAGGGTGGTGGTGGACAACAGAAAGCATTGCGGGAAGTGGTCCTACAGGCTCTGCTGCAGGATCAGCACTATCAGGCTCCTCCCGCCCTCACCTTTTCCTAGCGGTAGCCCTTCCAACAAGCTGCAGCAGAGGGAAAAGGGGGAGCAGGGACTGCTCCATGAGCTTTGTTGAGAAAGCAGCAAGCTCCTCCTCTCCCAGAATGGTTTCCATGCCAGCAGGGCATTACAGGAGCAACTCTTTAGCCTGAAGACTGAATGCCTCAGCTGGCTTTTCCCCACCATTTCCCTCCTCATCCCCTTTTCATGTCTCCTTGGCTCTTGTTCTGATCAAATGCACGGAAGCTTCTCTGGGAGCCTTTTCAGCCAAAGAGCAGAGTACAAGTGCTCGAAAGACGGACTAGAAAGCATAGCAGCAATGCAACACGTGCCCACAAGTGACTGCCTTCCCTTACCTTGCCAGTCCAGTGTATGGAAGAAATTTGTCTCAGTGCTTGTGCTTGGTGGAGAGTCAGGCTCGGCAGGGGTGCCTTCAGAAGACGGTTCCGGCTTGGATGCTTCGGCTTCATACTGGGCAGTGGAGCCTGGCTGCCGAGGCAATTCAGGCTTACCTGTCAGGTGAAACATGCAAAGCGAAGACATTTAGAAACACCATTTAACAAGCCTCCTTCTCCTCTGTTCCTTTCGAACGAAGGGCATAGGGCAGCTAGCAAGCCTCATACCCTTTTAGGAAAAGGAATGAGGCCACTGGAAGGGGTGAGGGTCCCTAGGTTTGGTCTGCAGGCCTGGGACACAATATCCCTATTTTTTGTGAGATGCTAACTAGTACTGCTAAATAAGAACCTCCTCCGTCACCACCACAACCACTGAAATTGACACCTTTGGATTAGCCAATAGATCAGTGCTATTTTCAGAGATTTCCTTTTCTTTACCAAATTTTGATAGAATCTCTTGCTGCTCCTCCCGGCTGGAGAAAAGGATCTTGGGATTTAGACCTTTGATGTTCAAGTTATCCCAGGGGGCTCGCTCAGTGCTAGGTCTATCCCGTGGCTCCACCTCAACCTCCAGATTCACTTGGAACAAGTCAGGGTACTTCTCTTGAATGTCACATGCATCCAGATCATACCTGCAGAAATTGCATGCTATTAGACAAGTTCATGTTAAAAATAAAAATACAGTCCACTGGCGATCTCTCTTCTCTGCCTGCCCCCACCAATGTTCGATTGGTGGTTTCTTAGCTTCTGCACAGTTTCAGTCTTACAGAAGGAGTGGAAATGCACAAAACCCAGGTCAGCATCAAGCGGTGAATGGAGAGGGGGAGTGGGCACAGCCACTTGGAAAGCCCTTGCTTGCTGGATTGGGATCCCAAGGTGGGTTGGATTCAGCCCATGGACCTGAAGTTCAACACCCTTGGTCTACACTGTAGACTCTACAGGAACCCGAGCAGCTGCTCATGCATGGGAATCCCATGATGGACATCCCTGCTCACTGCGCCTTGGGGTGGGAGGTGAGTGAGGCCGGCTCACACAGGCAGCACTTAGCAGTGCAGGCCCATCCTTACTTCAACACACTTCTGCACATGTGTGGCCTGTGAACATGCTTCACCAAATATGACAGCGATCCTGAGCACCCCGACCTGGAAGTAATGACATCTTCAGGAATTTATTCCGACTGCATACATTTCACACTCAGAGTGTGGTTTTCAGGACATGTTTTAGTAACTAGTATGCAAGCATTTTAACACAAAGATTCAGAATTCAGTAACAAAGCGGCAGCCAAGGACCAGTGCAAACATAACCCTGATTGCAGTAAAGGGACCCCAAAGCGTATGGCAGGATCAGGCGATGTCCTTTCCCTCTTGCATATCAATTCCCCCTGACCAGCTCTATTTGCTTTCAGCCATTATATCTGACTAGCTTCTACCTGGGCTAAGAGAAACCTGGAGTGACCCCAAAGTACTTTTGGAACCCAAACTGTAGAAGTTATTTTAACCCAGCTTGAGAGTACTCAGATGCAATGCCGACTGTTGTAGGGGAATGAGGAAAATTTGCACACGGGGGCTGGGGAGGAAGGGGCACATGGAACTTGCAACCTGCTCCTGATCCCGCAAGTCGAGTATGTTTCATGCCTGCTCTTATCCAGAAATGGTTGAGGAAGAACATTGTGCTTCAAATACATATAGGCAAGCACGGAACTGCAGAACTATAGCAGTAATTTAACAATATATAAATAATAATTAAAATAGCATGCAACGGTGCTGAGAAGCTTTGTTCAAACAGGTGATTGACATACTTTGCAAATTTCACAGTAGTGGCGTTCCGGGGTACAAATCCTGTATGAAACTGGATCTGGAACATCTTCATTGAGGCCATCTTGTGAAGGAATGGAAAAAACGAACAGGACAAATATAAGTGGAGCCACGTACACCGAAGGGGGTGGATGCTTAACCAGAGAGTCGTCTGTGCAACATCACAACTGTTCCCAGCCAGGGGTGCTGCAGGCAGTGACTCTGGCTGGGGAAATGTTTTGTCAGATACCTCAATAACCTGTCACTGCTATAATGTATAATAGCATTCAGGGCCACTGCACAGCTGTAATCAGGGCTGTCCAACTATCAAGGCGAAAGCGTTGCCTGAATGAGCAACTAGCTGCTACTCTAAAACAGCATTCAAAAACCCCACCGAGTTCTCTAGGATGCAGCTCCACATCCGCGGCCTTACCTTGGCTTGGAGTCTGCCCCCTAAGGTGGACCTGGCATGATAGATGACAATGAGAACATCTCCTTGGACTGTAATGCCTAATGGGATCTCTGCTTTGCCATCTTCCATTTTAAAATCCCTACGAAAGAGAGAGAGAAAGAGAAAACAGGCACCTTGTGTCAGTGTGTGGTAGTCCGTGCAATTTATAAACATTATGCCATCCAATTAACTGTTTGCTTCCTTCAACTCTGACCCTGTTTTTTGTTTTCTTTTGTTTTGTCCACTCGAACCCCAAGGGCTACCAGCAGGAGCTTGGCACAAAATAATGGATCAGGTAGGCAAGCACAAATGAAGACGTCAGGAGCAGGGTGCCTCTGAACACATTGCTGGCCCAGGAATTTGAGGGGTATCAGAACTAAATTCAGAAGTCCTTTCACACACACACACAAATCTTCTACTGTTTTTCTCCCAGTATTCTTTTTCAGCATCCTAACTTACAGGGTGGAGATGGGAGTGAAAGAAGAGAAAGCTTTTTCAGTTGCTGTCGCTATTGGACAATTGGAAATAGCATAATGCTGAACCTTCCTGAAAAACTGCCTCCTCGCCATCCTTAGTTCAAAAAACAAACCTAAGTACTCCTTGAGCAAGCACAGTTCTTGTGAATCCAGCCCTAGTCATACATACAAGTATTTCTAAGAAACCTCTGTGTATGGTAATTAGTTTGTGAAAAGAAAGTACTAGCACCTGGGCTAGGGAGGAAATGGACTGATGGAAAGGCTGATTTCTGGGAGCAAAACCCTAATTCATTTTGGTTTCCCACCACAGTCAGCAATTCTTGTGCAGCCAGTTTATGCTATTATGTCGTTATTTGTTTTTCGGCGCCAGGCGAAGACCTTTTTATTTTTTTATTTAAGCAGCATTTTAAATGTTAATATTATTGAATTTTATTTGGCCAGGGCGGCTTATTTTATTCTATTGTATATATTTTAATTGTTATTGTTTTAATTTATTGTATATTTTATTAGATGTTGTAAGCCGCCCCGAGGCTTCGGCAAGGGGCGGCATAGAAATGTTTTAATAATAATAATAATAATAATAATAATAATAATAATAATAATAAATCCCATCGCAGCCTTCCCTAGCCTGGTGCCCACCAGAGGTTTGAGATGACAGCTTCCACCATCCCTGACCGCTGATTGTGCAGGGCTGATGGGTGGTGCCACTGCCAACCTCTGGAGGACAGACACCCAGCTGGGGAAGGCTGCCCTGTGGTGCACATCGTGACCCAAGAGGCTCACGAGCAAGCCCTGGGCTTCCACTCATGCATGCTACAGAATGCAAAATGCAAGCACCTGCCACCTGGGAATATTAAATGGCAGTACAACTGCCTCCAAGGAATCTCTTCTCCCCTTCACTCCAGTGGACAGACTTGGGCATGAATGCACAGGAGGGGTTTCCTGTTCACTGAGTGGTGAGTTTATGTGCTTGCATGCACAGAGAGGAACAGGACTCAGCACTGAGACCGGAGGCAGCCTCCAAGGTAGGAAGAAGACGTACTAGCCCACGTGCCAGCAGAGGTCCGCCAACAAGATCCCCCGGACTTTCTCTTCACCCCAGCCGGGTTGTTCACCCCTGGTGCAGACAAAGGCAACAGAGGTGGAAAGTAGGAGGGGATGACGCTGCCTTCTGGCTCTCTGCCTGTCAAGCAGGCCAGTGGTAGCAATGCTGAGGAAGAGGAGGGGCAACAGCAACTGGTGCCCATGGTTAGGGTAGGGGGACTCACTGAGGGATGGGACCCCAGACAGCATCTTGCCCAAGAGCCCTTCATAGCCTGGGGCCAGCTCTGTGAAGCCCCACAGCACAGGCAAATGAGTGTGTGTGTGCAAAGCAAGTTTTCCTGTCTGTGTCCCCCACTGGGAACCATGGACACAGCAGGTTTTGCTGTGCACTGCCATCCACTGAGGGCAGAAGGCCCTGGAGGCACATCAGCTCATTATCCACATCAGGATAAAGCCAGCTGCTGTCAATGAAGCGCCGAGGAAGAGGAGAGAGGTGGGAGCACTGTGGGGGGTGGTCGGGATTTCTGATGCTCTTGCCGAGCATCTCCAGAGCCCCTGCAGGCAAGCCACGCACAACCTGCTCTCCCAGGTTTGGAGGTCACGCCAAGCCGCCCTGGAAGCAAGCTGCTGTGAACACCCCAACAACGAGGCTTGGGTTCCCCCGACGGCTTGATCATGGAAAAATAAGCTGCCCTGTGGAAACGGCACCAGGTTTGGACATCAGGAGAGGCCACCATGGTGAGAAGCAGGTTGCTCTCTCACCCTTAATTCCCAAGAGTCAGTGTGGTGTAACAGACGGCACACAAGACTCGATCCAGAGAGACCTGGACTCAAAACCCCTGCCTGGCTGTGACTCCCTGGATGATGCTCAGCCCCTCCCTATCTCTCAGCCTAAACCGTCTCACCGGGTTGTGTGAAAGTGGCTTCTCTTCCCACCCCTTCCCCCCATTTTTGTACGCTGTTCTGGGGCCCACAGAGGACAGGAAGGATGTGAACGAGACCAATGCTGTAAAAGGAAAGAAATGGGCTTCCGCAGGCATCACCCAGCAGCAGCCTTTCCATCAGGCTGGAGCAGAGGGAGAGAAGGGGGGCAGCCCCATTCCCTTGGTGCTGCTGAAAGGCAAGCTGCCTGAAGTGCCACTTCTCCCTCCCACCTGAGCCGGAAGAACAGCAAGAACTCTGCTGCTTTAAGAACTGACGCCTGACTTTGCATCCAGCCCCTTGCTCCTCCCTTTTCCCTTGTGTGTTGTGCCTTTTAGATTATATGCCTGAGAGCAGAGACTGTTCTTCCTTTTATTACTAAGCAGCACCTGCGAAAAACGCTTTGAATAAACAGAACAGCCACTTTTGTGTCTTCTGCTGTCACAAGCTCGACGTCTGCCACAGACAACGTGAGCTTCTCACAGACGAAGGCTCAAGCCCAAATCATTGGCCACCTGACCGGCGTGCGTGTCTCTTGCTGCAGGAGACCTTCAACAGCTGCCCTGTGGGAATTTCCACTTACTTCAATTTATCATATTCTTGTGAAGTAGTGGCTATTCTTTCATCCCCGACATAAACTTCACAGAAGGGCCTGCAGCCATTGCGAAGCTTGCTGAAAAGAGGGACTGGAGTCATGACGACAGACTTAATAAGGATCGGCTTGCTGTGGGGGATGATGGGCTCTTCTGCCATCATGTCACACATGTATTCTATATACCTGTGGAAACAAAGAAGGCAGTAAAGTGTACAGTTTTCAAGTCCAAGCAGCATCAACTGATCTGAAGCACTAGAACACAAACTGGTACTGTGCACATCTGTCCATCTTACATAGGCTTGCAAGTCAAGTCTCAATTCATATGAATACTTTCAAGAAATCACATGAGGGCAAATGCCTGCCTTAGATTTTTGTTGCACAGATGAGATGACTGGAAAAAAATAAATCCAGTTCTCTTCCAGCTTCTCCTCTCACCACCTGGGAGGTTTTACTTGCCAAAAGCAGGCAAAGAGTGTCAATTCACACGTGTGTCTTAGCAAAGATTTATTTCTAGGGAAACTCATGCTAAGAAAGGACTTCAGGTTTTACAAAAGGAGCATTTTACAAGTGTGGAACTTGCTACAAGAACAGGGCAAATACCGATTAGTCCTGACATGAAGCCGAGTGGCCGATTGTACTTGCTTCCTGTTCTCTACCCATTCACATAGCTGGCCCATGTGGGAGGGTCAAGTGCTTTCAATAAGTCAGCGGTGCAGAACCCTTTCAGCCTGGTGGCCAAATTCCTTTTCAGAGAAGCTCCTGGAGGATCCATTCTGGTCATGGGTGGGTCAAAAGTAGAGGAAGTCTGTGCCAGCAATGCCCAGTCTTTTTGCATAAAGCTCTTACTATCAGTAAGTAATCCTTAAGAGAGACATTTTGAACTTTTGGGATGGGGAAATGAAACTGCACAATGCCAGGGAACCACCAACAAGGAGCAGATGGTGGAGAAGGGGCTTGCCTGCAAAGTTGGGTCAGGAGCCCTGAGGCTGAAGTTCTGCACCTCTCCAATGAGCCCAATGCAAATTTCCAGATGTTTTAAATTGAGGGGAGTCCAGGCTCTGACCTTCACAGTGCCCTGCTGCTTTTCACACTGTTCCAGGGGCCCACCCAAGATGCATAGACCCATCTGCTCTGCAAGTCTGACACTTGAATGGCAGGAGTGGGCAAGGAGAAGCCGTCTGAAACCCTCTCTTGTGTGGGACTGCAAGGCCGCACAAGAAACAGTGTCCTGATAAAGCATGCTCTCTTTTAAGCCCTTGCTCTAATTTCTTTTTTAAAAATCCAAGTTGTACGGGATAGGAAGAAAGAGTTCCAAGGGGCCAGAATCCTTTCTGCAATCATTGTACCTCTTATGTGATGGCCAAATCCCCGGCGGACAACGCTTCATGCTAAACATATAAACTGCAGCTTCGGCCGTGGTGAACAGACGGCAAAAACATAAAAAAGAACACACAACAACCGCTGATGCAGCTTTTCCATCCTACAATAAAAAGAGGAAATCAAGCATTTGATAAGTAGCTAAAGCCTAATAAAATCTATTTGCTATTTAGATGGAAAAACACTTTTTTTTACCCTGACCACTGATTGAAATGCTACATTTTAAATTAAAAAACCCTCACAAATCCATGATTCAAGCTCTTTCCTAATAATCACTGAATTCTCATTAGTTCTGCAATTGAGTGAATGTTTTCACTAAGTGATCCACCAGATGCTTCCAGGTTAGTTTTTTAATTGTGTATTCACATTGCCACATTATTAGAATTTGGCCACATCAATACCAATTCCACATCAAGTTACGAGCAGGTGAAACAGCACAATCTCAACACAGACTGAGACCCAATATTGTCTGATTTCCTCAGTCATAAAAGTAGTCCTACCCAGTGCTTGTTTTAAAACAAAATTACCTAATCTTAGCCAAAACTCTCCAAGCAGTTCACAAAGTGCCTGTCAATGCACTCAAAGAACTCTGAAATATTAGCAAGGTGAGATGTCACAGAAATCTTGCCAGTTCTCCTTCAGTTAGTTACGATTTCAATGGCACAAAAATCACATGGCTATTATGTGGGAAATAATGGTAGATACTGTAACATCTTGGAGATTTTTGACACAAGTCACACACACATTCAACCCATATTCCCCTTTTCTCTGCTTTGAATAGGGAAAAATGGTAGGAAATGAATGGCGGATCAGCCATTCTTTGTCTCCCCACCATATCTTACCATTTTTTAAATTAGGGGTGGGGCAACCTGCAAAAACCCTCTGCAGGTCATCAGTTATAGATCCCCTGCAGCCCCCGAGGAAGAAAAAGGAAGGGAAAGGGGTTGGTGTCCTACCTCTGCCCCCAGCTGTCATTGAAGCTGAGCTAACATGTCAACACCAGTTGCTACTTACAAGGCAGTGCACAATGCAAACATTCTTTGGATCTTGCTTCAGCCATAAATGCATGTTCTTGCAAATGCTATAGAGGTTTTGAAGATTTGGCGAACGCCTTGCTGGCCAGCCACACTCAGACACCTGTTTCGGAGACCAGAAGATAAAACAAACCAAACAAATGAACAAACATTAACACTGCATAGCAGGGCAAAAGCAGTCATTTCAAACACACCCATTCCTTATCCTTATTGTAGATTGGTTATCTACAAACCAATGCAACTGAGGCATGATCTCATACCCAGTTCAGTTTCAAAGCATAACTACTTGTTTTGCAAGGCCAAAGTTTCATTTGAGAAGGCACCTGAAACAAATAACTCTCACAGACATCCTATAAGGCTCTAGACCCCATTTCTTTAAGGCCCACTGGCAGATGATTTCAAGAAAGAAGCCCAAAGGATATGTCTGCACAGACTCTCTAGCTATTACTCCTGGTACTTGTTTTCCCTGCAAAGATCTCCATAATCAGACACGATAAGTACACCTGAGATCTACTATTTAGTAGTCTGAACTCTTAACTACATTTTGCAAACGCAAATGTCAGAAATGGAAGCTCAGCATCTTAGCAGGTGTGTAGCAATCTGCCACCTGCTTCATGTTCTTTAGAACAGGGTTCAGAAAGATGACAAGCTCATCCTGGGCACCTATCTGCACATCTCCAACAGGCAGTCACCTTCACTTACAATAATAAATGCAACACTCTCCAGATTGAATTGCAAAACTGGGAGACCACCAACTGGTTGGGCAAAATGGTGAGGGGCAGGGGAAGGGGGCATGACCAGGAAGGCCAGTTTTGTATTCTAGGCCTGAGGTTCAAGAGCCCTAATCTAAGTGACCACCACCCCTACCTACAACCATTCTGAAGTTCCAGACTGATTTCCCATAAGGAGGAGTTAATCATTCTCCCAGTTGATGCCACAAATCCACCATACAGGTGTAGCCAGCTAATTGTCTTCATAAGCAGGGCATGAAAGCAACAGAGGCATGCAGAAGTACAGGAGATCCATTCTGGCCATCAAGACCAATACTGGCTGATAGACTTGGTCCTCCATGAATGGTTTCAAGCCAACAAGGCGAGTAGCTGCCACATGACGCGGTAGAGAATTTCAGAGGCATGAAATTTATCCATGGAGGAGAAATCAAAGATGGAGGCTAGCTGGGAAAGAGCTTCCATCAGGAACGAGAGTATTACCAAGCACTGGTAACAGAGAGAAGTCAAGCAGGCTTCATCTTACATCCCCTTATGACTTTATGAGGGTGCAGCAGGAGCCCAGTGGCCAAAGATCACGCAGCAAAGCAGTACTGGATTACAAACCCTGTTGTGAAATCTGGAGGGTCTATATGTCCTCGGAGACAGATTGTAGACAGCATAGCGTCCGGGATGTTTTGAGTCTAAGAACAACCGCACATCTTCAATGTTATTTTTTAAGGCAGACTCAACACCTTCTGCCGGAAAAGACATTACTACAGGGAAAAGGGGAGAAAAAATGATCAAGGCTAAAGTCCTTGCTTTCATGAAAAGCAGAGAAAATATGCAATTTAATAAAATGATTTAACATATCATACCAGCAATTCTAGAAGTGATGTAAGATATATCCAGATCTCCTTTTGCATAACTGAAATGTTAAAAAATGAAACAGAATAAAAGAACAGAAAATCATTTTTTAAAGGAGCAGAATTTTGAATCCAGGAGTGGCCCTGACTCACCCCTACCCCTGTCAAGACGTTCTCTCCCAAACATCTGTGTCAAATATCTGAGTTATGGAAGGTATCTAAAGCATCTGGAACAGCAGCCTAAGTTGGCATATGGATAGTAATTTCCCAATCAGGAACCAGTATCTGGAAGCTCTGTCTTGTGGGCAGAATGTGAGAAATACCTAACATCCCAAAGTTAATTGCCTTTCATCGCCTAAAGTAAAAGCTCCTACAGGCCTTGCAAAATGCTATTTCTCATAAAGGCAGGGGATGGGGACTGTTCTTAATCATTTAATTCTGAAGTCTGCTACTGGGTGTGCGCCTGACTATTGGATGTGATGGCTGGGGCTGATGGGAACTGAAGTCCAAAGTATCTGGAGGAGGCTGAAATAACCTATGAGAGTAATAACCTCATGTGTAACATTTCAAAGGGCTGTTGCAGCACTCACTTCAGGCCATCGTAGCAAAAGCGGCTTCTTTGCTTGGTCAAGACAGGGTGGCACGCTGTTTTCAGCCCCAAGAGTTGCATCAGCTGTCAGCTTGGTGGCTGGGAGCCACACACATGTGCAAATGCACACTGCAGTGATGCCGGCCCAAGTGACGGCCCAAGTTACCAGCTGTGATCTGAGCTGCTTCAGGTCACACGGGAGGGAAAAAACAGCCTCTTCCCTCCACCTGTGATTCCAGGTCTTCAGGACTGCCACCGTTAGCACTCCAGCACCATGGTTTTTTGTGGCATGTTTTCTCTGCAAGAGTGGACCCTTACAGGAGGGATGGCAGAGCTGCCCGCAGGTTACGTACCCCTCTTCTAATCCCTCAATCATGCAATGAGCAGCAAAGAACTGCACCACCATTCCCACCCGAGCCGGTGCTTGGACAGTGCAGCTTCCAGGGTCATCAGCAACTTCACAACTGTCAACCAGTCCGACCTCAAATATGCCCCCCTCTGCATGGCCCTCTGTCCTGTAGAGGTTGAGGAATATGGTAAGGGTGCCACTGAGACAACAACCTGCAACGTACTGATGCTGGGGACAGGTTCCAGCATGAGAAGGGCCAGAAGTGCCAGAACTGTTATCTCAGCACAGCATCATACACAAGTGGAGAAAGCACTGATGGGATTCCACGTAGGATCACGTATGTTCTGTACTTAAAACCCTGAGATTACACAAAGCAAGCAAATTTGAATGACATCTCTTACTCTGTGTAGTTTATTCTGGTTTTGGAAGTCCTGAAGAGGGTCAAAGCACTATCCAATGCACTGAATAGGGCATCCTCTATCCCTAGAGTCTAGGGATTCATATTCAAGATTTTGCCAAGTATTGCCCCATCAACCTGAGAACCTAAACTTAGGGATCATAAAGGCTAGAAAACCTCTTTTTAAAAGCAAATATGATTTTAGGGATCCCATGAAATTGATTTCACCCACATTGTATCTCACAAGGGCAAGACTAGAAGACTAGAGTATAGACTTGTTTTGACTACACTCAAAACAAATGTTAAGAGAATGACTTTTCAGAGATTAAACATACTTGACATAGTTTGTACAGAAAACAAAAAAATTGTTAACTCATGAGTAAGCAGAAAGAATTTTCCTAAAGGTGAATTATATTAAACTGCACAGATTAGCACTTTTGACAGAAGAAATCCACAAGATGCTAGTAACCGATCAATCAGTATGATAAACAAACTGTTCTCAAACAAAGAGCAGATGGAAATAAGGTGAGAGGCACACACAAGCAGGTTAACCTAGAGCAACACAAATTCATTTTGAAAGATCGCAGTTGCGCAACTGTGCTAATTTTTTAAAAGATGCCTTTCCGGAGAGTTATGTACATAAAAAATACACATATATTCCTTAACATTGGGCAGCAACAGGCAGCCTTTTCAAGGTGCCCCCAGGACACCTGGAAGGGAATGCTCATAGCTGTTGCCAAGGGGTCACAAGAGCCAGTTTCATGGCCATGGGTCTCACTGATTCCTTGTACCCATAATGGGATTGGACTACTGAGTTTGTAAGACACAGCTGCCCGCGGTGGGTACAACAATCCCTAGAACAGTCCACGGGTTGTTGCAGTGGCTTGTGGCCCATGCACTATGCAACCTCAGAAAATTAGTGTGGATTCACAATGGTGAACCCATCGTGGGTAGCAACCCACAACACAATGGAATTTCATGTCATTCAAACCCCAGCCACCGTCGAAAGATCCCTCAGCAGAATTGTCTTTCTCTTCAACAAAAGCCATAATCCAAAAATGTAATCTTATCAGTTCTGTTTCAGAATTGAGCCATGCGTTTAACAAAAACAGGTGGCAGAGTCTTTCCTGGATTCTACCACTTCAGATTTAGGTCAATGGGGAAAGGGGGATTGGGACTTGCCTGTGATGGAGAGAGCAGAAGCTTTCTGTGTGTGGGCTTAGCTCATCCTGCTTCCTTCTCATGAAAGAAGCTGGAGAAGGAGGCAAGATATATCAAGTAACTGAGCTCCCTTTGTGCCCCCCTTTGTTTCCAACCTCTGGATTGGAAGAGGCTGGATTCTGCCGCTCCCTATATTATGTGCTGTGTATAAGAAGCACAGTATGCAAGCAAGCCCTACTTAACCTTGACACGACACTATTACTAGAAATTGGCATTTTGGAAAATTGGTGGTTTTTGTTCAGAGTTGCTTGGCAGCCAGTATGCGCAGAACATGTATTATTTTCCTAATCTAATGCTGCCCCAAACTGTAGCCATGTTCCCAGCCTGAAAAAATTACACTGAAATGGGAAGCCTCCAGGTAATTAAAATAATATTTTTTCAAGGACACCATTTCCCCTCAAGTGTTTGTTTTCAAACCAGAGAGGAATGAGGGTGGGGGGCTGGTGCGAGAAAACTAAGAAGTAGTGGCAATTCAGCAGATTAATAAAGAACAGAGGCTCTGAAGTTATACACGTATGAGGACTGTCAAACTAAAGTTCAGTACCTATGCATTATGTAATTTAGAATCCACAAGGCAATTCTGTAATTCACACTGGTATAGGCCTGCTAATATACATGATATGTTAATATCATGTCTTATGTATAACTTGAGAGCTCAGAAGTTTCTCTGTGGTTGTTAATATTAGCATTTAAGGTCAATGCAACCCTGTTTGCATGCAACACACAGAATACATACTAAACATAGAGAGGCAGATATATTTACCTTGGGCTGCTAAGGAACGTGGGTATGGAATGATGAAAGTTGAAGGGGAAAAAATGGGCAAGCAATAAGCATCACACACAACATCAAGATGCAAAAATAAAGTAAAATAGTAAAATAAAATAGAGAGAGAAAAAGCTCTCTCTAAACAACTTTCCCCACAAATCAACAGCATCCAAATCTTGCTTCTTTCTCCCATAGCATGTGCTTTAAGCCATTTCAGTTAGGAAAATACCATTATGTGTAGTATAAGCCATTAATGACAAAGGTCTATGAAAGAGCATCAGCCATTGCAAGCTTTAAGTCTGTATAACATAATCAACAATTTAAAGTTTGAGCTGCAAGTAATACCCAGCTTCTAACAAATTCATTCCACAGTTTAAAATTGCTACACCAAGAGTCCTGCAAGGCACTTGTCAGAAGTGAAGAGAATGTTTTGTTTCAGCCTAGTTAAATAGTTTCATGGACATTGCTGATGCCATTACTGAGACTGGTTTGGCATGTTCCACGTCAGCAATACATGCCAATTCCAGAGAAAGACAGAGGCACCCCAACTCTAAATGTATGTTTATTTGGAAGTGCCACCAGATCCGTCAAGACCTTTTCCCAATCCAGAAATGGCAACCTCAGGAATTACAGGTTTCAGACCAAGACCTTTCAGTATCTACCAAGTTCCAAGTGGATCCAAAGGTATTGGGCATTTTTCACATTTCACCTTGAAAAGCATCTTCCAGTGCTGAGATATGGAGGTGGGAGGGTCTAATATTCCAACTCCCTTCAGTTTCAGAATAGCTTTGCTGTGTCAACCAGCAGAATATTTACTAAGGAAGAAGAAACCTCAGGCTCCCCTGCTTGGGTAGAACAAATGAATGGATTCATGCCTTACACATATAAGAAAATTTGGCCCAGAAGGTACGAGCCAACAGACCACTTAAGCAAACAGTTTCCCTTTGAGTAACAGAGGGACAAAAATAATCTGGTATCAAGGTTAATGCACAGCCCACATAAAGCACAAAGTAAAACCACAGTTTCCATTCCACAGGTTACCACAGCAAATTATTTTACTGTAAATAAAAATGTAATAGCCTTTCCTCTCTCACATGACTTAATTTCAGCAATGCTAAAAGGTCCTTAAGAACTAACCCTACATAAAATACGCAGGCTTGAGAATTTTTCTTAAAGCCGAGTGCTGCCTAGTTTTTCCTGCCATTGCTAGCCACATTGCTATTGTCTCTGTGCAGGTCCATTCACATGTGGGCCACGGGGTTTCCAAAGAACTTGACTGAAGGATCAAATGTTTCACCTGGCCCAGTAAAAACCCCGCTTGAAAGAAACCGTTCCAGTCCATCCCAAAGGGGTTTCCCTCTGACAGAAGACAGCAGCAAGCATTTAAGCACCACTCGTTGAGCAGAAGGGATGTCGGACCAAGGGTTGTGTTCGTGGACTGTGAGCCCTGCGCTCTTTATCTTACCTCAGTGCAGCCAACAGAATGACATCAGGAAATGTTAGATGATGTACGACTGGTTACTTTGACCCTGATGTCATAATCACCCCAGAGTACAAGCTCTAAGCCTCCCTATAAACCAGTTTAAGGTACCTCCTACTAATGGTCTTTCCACCTTATAGTCCCTTTCCGTGTTGCAGAGACAAGAAATAACTATACATCAAGCTAGCCTATTGAGTCAACTTTGCTAGATTGGAAAGGTATGGGCCTATGGGTGGATGGGTGACCACATGTGGAAACAGAGTAGTGGGGTGAACTTGATGGCCTTATAGGTCGCTTCCAACTCCCATTCTATTCTTGTCTAGTGCATTCCTGCAACCCAACTTTTTTTTTTCAAATCCACCCAAGTTGCTTTTTCTCATAGTTGCTGATATGGGTGTATTCTATGGGAAAATGTGCTATAGATTGCCATTCAAACTGGGGTGAGCAGGGTTGTATCCCTAACTCCCATTAATGTATTTAATTGCAGAACTTTACAATACATAAGGAAATGGCTTCCAGTCACCAGAATGGGAAAGGAAAATCTCAGGAACTGTCTGGGTGATACAAATCAGGTGTGAATACAGTCTCTTCCCTAGCACAAACACTGGTGGACCCAGTGTTCAGATGACACTTTAGTAAACCTATGACACTACAGCTTGCCTGAATTTAGTTCCATCCATTTTACTTTATTTTTACTTTTGTTCCAAAAAGCACCTCTGAAATAGTTAAAGTTGACTTTTATCAGAAGAGTGAATGGCATTGCTTCCCATGTACAGATGATGGAAACTATCAAGGGAGTAGGAATTACACAAAGCAGAGAGCATCAGAAGGTAAGATCTCCAGATGTTTTGAATTCCAATTCCAAAAAGCCTCTGCCAGCCTGGCCAATGGTCAGGAATGCTGCGAGTTGAAGGCCCAAACTTCTAGAGAGCTTACCTTCTGCCAACCCTGGATGTAGGTGGCAGTAGGATCCAACCTGTTAGAACTTCTGTAAATAGCCTTGGGATTCTTTTTGAATAATTAATGGCATAGAAAAGCCTTAAATGAAATGAAATAAGTCTTCGAGGACAAGTTAGCCAGCCATCTGCTGAGCATGCTCAACATCTCTTGCACTTAAGCAGTAGGCTGGATTAGAACACCAGCAAGGAATCCTCCAACTCTATGATTTCCAAATATCTGCATCTTCTCTTTAAATTTCAATTGGAATAAGCAACTGAGATTACTTTGCTATATTATTTCATTTAATGTAAGAAGAATGTGCATCATTAAACAGTGCAGGATAATTGGAGGAACAGAGACTTCCCTGACAAAGAATCAGCTCATCTGGATTTAACACAATGGTTTGTGTAAATAAGATTAGATGCCTATTCTAGTTTGAGAGCCAACAGACAGATTGATCCAGGTGGTCTCCCTGAAGGAGATTAGGAGGGTGATTACCCAGAGAAGGGCCTTCCCTGTGGTGGTGCCCCAATTGTGGAATTCACTCCCCAGAGAGGTTTACCTGGTGCCGCCACTTTATTCTTTTCAGTGCCAGGCTAAAACCTTTTTATTTTCCCAATGTTTTAAGACCTGATTGTTTTAATTGAGGTTTTATTGTTAGTTGAATTTTTAGGATGCTGTATTTTATTTTATTTTGTATTGTTAAACCGTCCCAAGACTTCGGTAATGGGACAGTCTAGAAAAGATATAAATAAATAAAATTGATGCAACCCCCATATTGACCCAATTTTGGTAAGCCAACATTATGGCAAACAAAAAGGGAAATTCACTTGTACAACAGACAGGATATTAAAAGATAATTCTGAAGAAATCAAAGCCCTGATGCTCATATTACTAAAGCAGTGTGGCAGCCACAAAACACCCAGATCCATATAACTGACCTCACACTGCCTTGGGGGGGTCACATGGTATTGCACTGAACACCCTGTTCCCATGCCTGAACTTCTCCCCACATGGACACAGGAAGAGGCCTAGAAAGGAGCAAAGCGTTCAGCACCTCCTCACATGATTCAGAGTTTCATAAAAATCTGGAGGCGAGATGGGATGAAATCACGAGGAAGCAAGCTTTCCACGGTCACCAGCCCTCCTCAATAGACATGAGACTCAGTTGCAGGATTCACAGAAAGAGTGGTACCAGCACTCCCAACAATTTCAAAATTACATTTTAAATCTTCGATAGTGCATGCTTCATGTTTGGCCTCAGACTTACTTCTAGTGATTCTGTTTTGAATCAAAGATCACTTACACTATATCATTATGCTCAACTAGGTTGATCAGCCTACAGTGAAGGCAACCAGGGGGACTAGCCCCTCTTTGTCAGGGTTCCAATGGAAATGCTGGTCAGCAATCAGGAAGTCACGTTCCCACACACTCACAGTGTTACTTGGGATGAGCTGTAGGCCAAAACTTCACATCAAGGCAATTTTAGAAGTGGCATTACCAAGGGAGTTTGTAATCAGACACCCACGGATTAGCAGCAAGCAGAGAAGAAGGTAATGGCACCCTGCCTCATCAGCTTCTTCTTCCCCATTCTAAGAGACTAGCTCATGCTGCTTTATTCCAGGTGGTCTTTGAAGGGTTGAATGCCTTTTGAATGCCAATTTTACTGCATGTTAAGCAATAAAATTGTAAGCATGCAAACATTCACAAACAGCTTGTGTTTTTCATCTATTCATGTTTTATTTTTTTTAAAGCAAGCTCTGCAGGTACATTTTTTATGAGCCATCAGTGTCCTTTGGAGTTAAATCACAGAGCAAAAGATGGGGTAAGAAACACACACATGTACACGGAATGTTTTGAATTGAGAAGACTTGGCAGATGGCAATTGCTATGCCTTTGACAAATTTATGCTTAAAAATGGAAGAAGCCACCCTAACAAAAACAGCCATGCTTGAAATGTTTCACATCTATAACTGGCTTCAGGGACATGACATTCTTTGGCTACTCTAACCAGGATTTCACTTTGTCGGTTTTTCTTAGCAGGTTTATTGAAAAGTGGGTGGCAAGGAAAAGCAGAATGCCCTACATCAGAATTGGGCAACTTACGGCCCTCGAAAGCATCTGGGCTACAACTTCCACTGGCTCTCACCATTGCCTAAGCTGGCTGATCAGCATTATAGCCCAAACAACCCGAGAGGCACCTGTTACCTGCACCTGCCCTAAATGATACAGAGGAACAGGCAGGCAAGCCAAACCCATGACTGCTGATTTTGTTTAATCAACAAGATTGTTCATCATCTTGTTGGGTCCTGACTTGGTGTCAGATATATCTGTTTTGATGGGAGAGAAGGGTGTGAAGGCACCTCAGGACCTTTCTCCAGGTAGATTCTCCCCACCACCTGGAACATCTAACATCAATCCCCCATGGGAAGGATTCCAAGCAAGAGACAGGGAGAAGCAAGGGAAGAGGGTCTCAGGGCCTTCTTCAGGCAGACTTCCCTCCCTCTGGCCATCTAGCACCTTCTACCCTGAGGGATGGATTCCAGGAGGGAGAGGGAGAGAGGCAGGGAAGACAACCTCTGAGCCATCTGCTCCCTGAGAGATGGATTCCAGGAGAGGAAGGCATGAGAATGAGGGTGGCCACCTGTTCCAAGTAGCCTCTCCCTGCCCTCAGGCCTCCCTCCTGAGGATTTGTACAAGAACAGGTTAACATTGCTTATTGTGATTTTACTATTTTTTATGTGAGCCATATGTCTCCTTGGTAGGATTTATCTCTTAAAAAGTGGTATATCAATAAATGAAGTTTAAAGCATTTTTGGAGTAAAAGTCCTGATTCTTCTGGATACTTAATATGCTTCGGTGTTTGGTCAAAAAAGCAGCCTTTGATGTGACACACACAACTCACTGCACACACAGAGGGTCACTACTGAAAAAGCGCTACCCTGGAAAACAGAGCATCCGACCCGAGAAAGGGATGAAATACAGAGAAGGGATTCACGTGCTGATCTTAATGTAATTCCCCATCCCTTTTAGAGTGGGTCTTCTCTTAAGAAACCTCCCCCCTCCCCCCGCAAACACACACACAGAACACATACAATATCTGGTGCACCAAGGCAGCCAAGCAGGAGAGAGTCTTTGCATTCTCTCCACCAGCCGGCACAGTCGCATTGCTACTCACTTGGCCACAGACTGAATAACTTTTGAAGAGGTATCCTTGATGTTTGAGAAAAATCTCTCCGTTCCTCCCCTAAGAATATCGAAGAACCCTCCGTATGGCTGGTCGCATTCTGCTACTGTCAGACCTGAAGCCAAGAACACAGTGTTAAAACCCACCAACACCATTCCTTCTTTTCAGACCCAAGCCTGTGGCTAGAAAACCCAGGTCCTCAGTTTTAATGGCAAACCATTTGGTGAAGTAGCAAAATTGCCCCACCTAGGGGTAGCACTAGAACTCCTTTGCCTCATTTTTAAGGAAATAGTCCACTACCGCAGGCACCAATTACTAACCAGTAGTTAAACAATAAGCAGTAGGTGTGATCTTGCTGCTAGGGAACCTCGCATATTTTGAAGCAAAACAAAGAACAACTGGACGCCCATTATAAGCAACACACAAAGCACTCGCTTTCAGAGGGCAGTCCACTAATTCTGCTTTAGCCAGAAAGCTACTACTTTAGTTCAAAATGCAACTCTAACGTTACTAAGTAGGACTGTCTAATATGATCCCATGCTATCGGTGCTCAGCTGCACTGGCTTCCAGTCAATGAGCAGATGTTGACCTTATAGCCCTAAATGGCTTGGGACCAGAGTGTCTAAAGGAATGTCTCGCATGTACCTGCTTTGGGTCATCTTTGCAGGCACTCCTTTGAGCACACTGGTTGAAAGAAGCAACATGGATGGCTACAAGAGAGAGGGCCTTCTCAGGTGTGGCACCCCACCTAGAGAATGAAAGCTGCAAAGAGATTCGCCTGGTGCCCACATGGTTAACTTCTCAAAGAACTAGGCCAAGACCTAATTCTTGATTTGTCGTGGTAAAAATGAAGAGCGGGAGATGCCACTGCCTACTTGCTCTCTGGCTCCCTGCCTATTCGACAAGCAAGTGGGATCAGTAATGGGAAAGGAGGAGGAGGAAGAGCAGCTATGACAACAGTGGAAAAAGAGTTACTTAAAGAAGGGGTCCACTGAGGGTGTGCTGGGCACGAGCCCTCAAAAAGGCTGGAGCTGGCACTGACTATACTCATGATATTTTAGCCATATAAACCTGCAAGTTTATCTGATGAAAAATTCCTCATAGTCCTATGTACAAACTTAACTTGTTGGCTTCCAGAGATCAAGATCTAGTGTTTACTTCAAGCCCCTTTCAGGAGGGGGTTCCTGAAGGTGAGCACGCCTCCTCTCCACACACTGCTTATTCAGTTGGGTCTCCTGCTGACACCTTCCCATGGAGTCGGGGGGTGGGGGCTGGTCTGCATCTGAGAATTCCTCATCCTCACCGAATCCTCCCATCTGTTGTACATTTTGGTCGTTCCCAGCAAAGTGTCTGGCCTTGAGAGAATCTGCCTCCTTCATCTCGGAATCTTTACCTAGCCCATCCTCCACAATCTCACTGTAATTTGTTTCACATTCCATTTCTGAACCATCTGGGATGCAGCCAGCATTGATTGTGCAAGACGGCCATCCTTCTCAGTCCCAACACCTGCCTTCCAAGCTGGATCTCCAAGCAACACATGTACAATTCCACCCAGTGCTACTAGACCCAGACCTGCTTAATGCAGTGTGGGCACTGCGTCCTGGGCCTACAGACCGGGCCTTCTTATCCTTGCTGCCCTGTCTTTGCCACACCCCAGGCCAGCACCACAGGTATGCCCTGCAAGCTCTTTGGCACAGGGATGTTTCTTTTGCTTCTCTTACAACATAAGTGGCCACATACAATGGCAGCACTGTATAAACAGTAATCAAAGAGAATCATCATATTGAAGGCACCCTCCAGACCTAAACACCTATGTGCAGTATTTGATTCGGTGCTAACACGAGCATAAATTAAGTTGCATTCTCATGAGCAACCTTTCAACTCAGTGCTGAGCACACTTGCTGGCCCCATCAGTTTCTCTAGGAATCTCCATATACATGCTGAAGCTCTGAAGTATAAGTAATACAAAAATCTGGACTCTCCACAGTTTCTAAAGAAAACCCCATTTGGAAATATACCTGCGTTATACATATTGTTGAGCTGTCCAGAAGGTTTGGAGTTCTGTGACACCAGGGTTGAAGACGTCCTGGGCTGAGCATTATTTCCATAGCCTCCATTCTGCTCAAGAAGCTGAAAAGGGCAATCACTTCCAGAATTAACACCTGTATATCACCCCCACACTTGCACCCATTTAAGAGGACAATCAAGATGCTGGTGCTCAGGTCACCTGTCAGGCAGAGTTCACAAATCAAATTCTGACTGTAGGTGCATCACTCTACTGCGGCTGTTCTGTCTGATCAGGGAATCTTTTACTAACAAAGATGAGTGGGGAAAAGAGAATAATGAAAATGCCAAAATATTTACAGTAAGGAGATGCAGAAGAGGACAGGATGTCACCTGTGGAAGAGATGTCCACAGCTTCCACGACAAGCCACACCTGCCAAGTCGTCCCATAATGCAGAATGACACTGACATTCAAACTCTTATTATTACTACTACATTTCTGTACTGCCTGTAGCTGAAGCTCTCTGGGCAGTTCACAACATTTTAAGTCACCCATCCAGATTTCAACCAGGCCTGACCCTGCACAGCTTCCAAGATTAGGCACTTCAGGCTATATTGAAGCTCTTAGTCTCTGAAGTTCGCAAATTTACTTTGCCATCAAAGCACAACCTCACTAGGTGTCCTCAAGAAAGCTGCTACTCACTCAGCCTTTGTGTCCTCATCTCTTTGTCCAGCCTCACCCTCCGCCTGCCTGAAATTCAGAGATAGCATTCAGGCTTTTTAAAATGTATTTGGAAGAATGAAAGACTGGGGGCAGGACAGTTGCAATCTCTAATCTATTGCAAAGCACTGACATGCCAAGCACGTCAGGAACAATAAATGCTGATCGATCTATAATGCCAAAGATTACTATTAAAACTGAAGCATTCATTACTCTATTCCAGGGTAAGCAACTTGGTGCACTTGATGTTTTAGACTACAACTTCCAACAGTCCCAGTCAGCACAGCAAACGGTCGGGGTTTAAGGAAGTTACAGTCCAAAACCTCTGGATGACACAGAGCTGCCTCGGCCTACTCTGTACCTCCTCTGCCAGTCACTTTCTTTACTCCTTGACTTCTGAAACCATAGACCTGGAGCAAGCAAAGGGGCAGCTTTTCACTGAGAAGCTGGCTTTGTAGCCACTGTGCAAAAACAAGCCATGCCACTGTATTGCATTTGCTTTCTCTCAGAGTCCTTGATAGGCAATGTTGCATTTCAGTCCGGAAGACTCCAAATCATAGGAGTGCCAACTACCTCTGTGACGGGGGACTTGGGATTCACATTCCTTGCAGCAGCAATCTCCTGCAGTTGGTTCACCAGCTCAGTGATGGACAGCCTCTCTTCTGGGTTCACTTTCAAACAAGAGCCTAAGAAAATTCCAAGATAGGGATTACCTGTCAGCAAGCCAAACAGACTCAATGACAAGACAAGATGTGGCTTCAAAATTTGTTTCAGGCATAGAGCACTTCAGTTGTGGATAGCTGGGAATGCCTTCTCTAGGGGAAAGGAGAGGCTCTGCCACATATACTAGAACAGCCTTCCCCAACCTTGTGCCTTCCAGATGTGTTTGGACTGCAACACCCAAAATTCCCAGTCAATGGCTCTGCTGGATGGGAATTCTGAGAGTTGTGGTCCAAACATGTCTGGAAGGCACAAGGTTGGGGAAGGCAGTACCAATAGATGCATCACCACCACCACCGATATATTTATATCCCACTTTTTTCCTCTTCCAAGAACTCCAAGGTGGCTAACAAGGTCCTCCTCCTCTCCTTTTGATACTCACAACAACCCTATGAGGTAGGTTAGGCTGAATATATGACTGGTCCAGAGTTATCCAATGAGCTTCATGGGCAAGTGGGGACTAGAATCCAAATTTCCCGAGCTCTAGTCTAATGCTCTAACCACTATGCCAGGGGCATTTCTATGTACTTTTGTGATCCAGTACCCGTAAGTTTTAAAACAAGAACAGCACTTAGATCAAGCCACATTAAAAAAATAAAGTGACAAGAGCTTTGAATTTCATTGCCACATCCAATGTGTCAAGTTGATGGAACTTCTCACCACACTATTTACATATACTGTCCTTACATACTAAACCACATGCCTACAAACACATTGGGGAAAAAAGCATCAATATTTTGAAAAGAAAACAAAAAGTGAACCTTAAATCCATACAAACCTATTACTTCCTACCTCCCCTTATCTACCCCCAAATGCATTTAGCATTGTTGTCTTAGACTTACGAATGAGGTCATGAAACACTGTGTATCTGGTATCGTTTTGTGGGATGGAATATTTCCCATTAACTATTCGAAGCTTAGCTCCATCTTCGAATGGATGTTGCCTAAAGCACAAAAAGTAGAGGATGCAACCCAAAGCCTGCAGTGGAATAATGAAATTACAAAAACAACAATAAAAAGGTTAAGTCATTCAAGAGTAAATTGAATTCTTTTGTTTCATCTAGTAAACAGATCTATCCAAACATGTTAGCATGTGCTGAAGTGTTTGATGATCCAGGTAGGCATTTTCAGCCATGACGAGTACTGACCACGAATTATTGCCACAACCCTGGTTAAGATCCCAACCATTTAGTGAAATCATGGTTTGGCTTGATAAATTATGCTTGCCCACTAAGGGCAGGTATCAATGGGGCTTGCTTGCCATTGAAAGTTTGTCTTAAACACCCGATTCCATCCTTCACATTTCAGGAGTTCTCACATCCTGCTCTCCAATCCAGGAATCTACTCCGCATCCTCAGAAACAATGGCGAGTACTGAAAATCAATCAGTAACATCCCAAGCTATGCATATGTACCACTTCCAGAAAAATATTATGAGCATTCCTAGGGGCCACAGGATGTGCTGGATTCCCCTGCCTCCCAAGGCCATACACCAAGGATGCAGCTCCTCAAGCCTCTGTGAATTCCCCTCCTGTTTCCCCACACCTTCAATAGTTTGGTGCTTTCCTGATTTTAGTGCAGTTCTTTCCCACATTCTAAAAAGCTTAGCTACTGCCAGTAAGAGCTTGAGGCTACAAGGTATCTAGGCTTTAGGTATCTTCTGGTGGCTTTGCTCCCCACTTCCCCAAAAGCTTCTGTGGAATGGAATCCGGCCTTCACACACTAACAGAGGTCTTGTACCATTGCGACAGGCACCCTGATGACTTCGAGACTGGAAACTAGACAGGGCCCTCCCTTTTCCAACCCACTCACGGCTGCCATAGAAAACGATCCCTGCCTACCACAAGGAGATCAGCGAGAGAGCCTGGGGGGCCTGCCTAGCTCCCATTTCAATCTCCATCCTGCCCCTGCCTGACCATTGCCAGCACACCACAGGACGGACAGAAGGCTCCAATCCCAGACTCCTCTGTCTATCAGCAGCAGTTTGGTTGCCCACTTTGTCCACTGTCCTGCTAAGCGGTGCGGATTTGAGCATTCCAGATTTTTCCAGCTCTGTTTCCTTAGAGTTCTCATTAAGTGTTAGAAACACCTCTGAGACCCCCGAGCAGAACGAGAGAGAACACTCAGCCTGCCAACTGGTTATTTATTTATTAAAACATTTTTATGCCGCCCCATTCGCCGAAGCCTCAGGGCGGCTTACAACAAAGGTTGAAACACACTGGGTTACGATATGACTTAACAAAAAGTTGCCTGCGATCCCCAGCCACTTTCGTCCAGCGGTGCCTATGTCCTCTTCTACTTAGACACTCAGGCCGACATCTCTTATTCGAAGCACATACTTCTGTGCATTCATCATGACAGCAAGAGTGGCGCACAAGCTGCCGTTCTGTGTTTATCATGAATGGGCTCCTATCGGTACATTCCATCAAGCCCGACTACTGGTAAATCATTCCCTGGCTTTGGCTTGTCTCTTTTCTTTCCCTGCCCTCGTTAGCAGAACTGGAGCTACATCCTGAAGTTACTTTCAAATAACTTGCCCTCTTTTCTTTTACCTCCTTCTTAGATCTGTGCTGGCTTTTCCCCTATGAATGAAGGGGAAGGGGACAATCCCAGCCACAGGGAGTTGATAAAGGATTGCCATGGGAAGGGCAGATTCTTCAAAGAGAGAGCATTGGGCACTCTGGTGATTTAAAGCCAGGCAGAGGGGAAGGGAGGTGTACGTCCCGGCAGGGCAGGTCAGGACATCTCCAAGCTGGTGGGGTCCCAGTGTGGTAACCAGAGGCAAAGACTGTCTGTCCTCACCTTTGGAGTCTTCTGAGTATGGAGGATATGGAAGAGGGTCGTTTCAATGGACCCCTTTCTGAAGACATGCACTCAAGGACCGTTTTTAAATTGGCATTTTTTAGATTTTGCTGTCATTTTATCCCAGTGTTGGCTTGCTCTGCTCAGCTTTTGAGCACTCCCAATCTTGACCTAGATCCTTCATACTGTCACTCTGTGACCCCAGAAAGAATTTGCATGGCACTGTATATGCAAATTGTTATTGCAGCCCATCAAACCCTCACATTTCCCAGGAATGCTGTACAGAGCTTCACTGCCTTTCTTTTAGCTTGGAATGGTAAACATGCTCTAGGAGTCATCTTTGCAGTAGCACATTTATGTATATTCTATCCGTTTACTATAAGCTGCTTAGTGGAGTCTACAAAAAGGAAGATGGCTACAAACCCCCTATATAAAGGAATATGCAAGCCAAATAATTTTTGGAGACAAGACACTACACAAAATTTATCTATGCACAAAAAAACCCCACATACCCATATATCCTGTTTTTCATCAATTGGGAAGTTTGAATACAAGTCTATTATTTCAGGAGTCCTATACATTGGTGTTGTGTTCCTTGTGATCTGTAGACATAAAATGAATCAATAATTATAAGCTATATTTTAACATTGATGGCAGAGCGACAGAGACTAAGCAAACTGGAAAAGTAAGCTTGACCATTAATGTACAAAATACTAGCTGTTCATCAAAGTAACCCATTTGCCTAATGTTGGCTTTTGTGCAAAATTTTGGCATTAACTCCTGCAGGAAAAAAAATGATTAAAAAGAAGCTCATTTTAGCCTTTGCAGAAATAAATTAAATTAGCAAAATTAAAAAGATAACACAGTATGAATGTGATGGGCAAGTCATCTTCCTAAGTATTGGAAATCACAAAGGGAGCTCTGAAAGACCAGAATCAGCTTGGATCTCTTTCTTGGTTATAACAGTGAGAGGAGTCCACATTTGCAAGTTCTTCCTCCTCCTCCTCTGAGGGCTTCCATGAAGTACCACTGCCTCCAAGAAGAGCCACAGCCCTCTATTCTTCACAGATCTACTGAAGTGGTCACGCTGTGCTCTTAGCACCCAATGGCCATGGAAGAGAACAAGAACCATCTCTTGGTTGAAAGTTTCCAAGGACCCAGAAGATACTGGAATGAGCCGATCCAGGAAGGGTCCTGAAGCTCAGGCCCGGGGGGCTACATCCAGCCCACCTCTCAGCTGTGTGGTGTCCTGGCTTTTGCATAGGTGTCTCTTTCCCTGCCAGGCTGAAATACTCCTCCCAGTGTTCAGTTACTGGCAGTAAGAGCCTTAAGCTAAAAACAGGCTGGTATTTTTGGCCCCATTCCTTCTCCTTCAACTCCACCCACCACTGGACACCCGCCCACCCCAAATTTCGCTCTGAGGCTGAAAAGAAGTTTGGCACATCCGAAATACAATGATAGTGACCATTCCTATAACCCTTTATTTACAAGACACCCCATGTAACTCTCAGGATCAGGGCCTGCAAGTGCTCACAGAGCCAGGAGCACCTTTGTGGGCACCTTCAAGGAGCAACTGTGGAGCAATTCTGCAGTGCAGCTGGAGACCCTGAAGACCAGCATGACGGGCTTCCCTGCACTGCTGCTCCTTGCCACAGCACTGCAGGTCCCTGGGGACTTCTTGGGCTGCGGCCCCTGCTTTGTTCCAGCCCTGCTCCAGTTCATCCCCACTGTGTTCAAGTCCTGCTCCAGTTCGTTCCTGCCTTGTTCAGGTCTGTGCCCACTTCATTCCTGCCAGCACTCTTCCTGCAATTCCCATCTTTCCTCTTAGACCCTGCCTTGCCCCAGCCTGCTACAACCCTTGCATCAATGGCTTTCCAGTAAACTGACTTTGGAACTGTGCTCTGATTTTCTCTCTCTCTCTCTCTCTCTCTCTCTCTCTCTCTCTCTCTCTCTCTCTGTGTGTGTGTGTGTGTGCGCGCGCGCCAAACTTGGACTGCTTCCTTCTATGCCTTTGACCCGGACCTACTGACTTGCCCCAAGCTTCTGGTCCATAGTGAGCTCTGGACTCAGCTCAAGCTTGCGCCCTGGACCTGGCATTCCACCCCTCCTTGCTGCCACCCACGGCCCGGCCCTCACAGTAACTATGCCACTGGGTTCCTTATTTTTCCTTCTGGCTGCTGTTCCCTAATCTTAACTAACCCTTCCCACTCTGCCAGTTCTTGCCAAAAGTATCCGAATTCCCTAAAAAACTGTTCTCAGAAATAGAACTGCACAAGATAGAAAAATGCAGGCAAGTTGGCTGGGAATATATTTTGAAAATCAGACGCAGAACTCTGGTTCTCCTGGGACACAACCCTGACATTATTCATGTGGCGAGTATTCAGCCTTCTCTGCAGGAGAAACCTTAACTACACCAAAGACATAGCATGTATGCATGGTTTAAAGGCAAAAATACCAAATGATACCTTATTCTGTACTGCAGAACAATTAAGGTAGCTGAAGGTTGTTAACTAGTTAGTTATAACAGTAGTTTGAAAATATGAAGCACAAGGCCAAGGAAAAATAAGTCCCTTATTTAAGATTTCCAACCAATACCCTGCTGGGACAGATATTAAAAATCATGTGTATTATGTGTGTGCGTAAGGATATAAAAGAGGCAAAATACAGAAACTGTTGAAAATTGCAGCATTGGTTTTCTCACCTCATCTTCGACTGTTGCTCTCTTTTGTGCAGACCAGCTGTAGTCTGGGTAATGAGCTACGGTTGTCGCACTGCCAAAGTCACACAATTTAATTGTCCCTTGGTTACTCATCAGCATATTTTCAATCTGTAGAAGCAAGTTAACTAGCCATTTCAGTGCATGAGCAGTATATACATTTACATAAAAAGGCATGCCTCTGCATTGATTTATACACTAAATGCAACATTTAAGATGAGCTGAGTACCACTGAGATATACTGCCCTAAAATCCAGATCCCCTTCATGGATCACTGCCTTGCCATGGCGAAGGGGCTTGTGTAGCTCAATGAAGTTATGAGCTATGCTGTGCAGGGGCAACCCAAGACAGATTGGTCATAGCAGAGAGCTCTGACAAAACGTGATCCACTGGAGAAGGAAATGGTAACCCACTCCAATACCCATGCCATGAAAACCCCATGGCCAGTACCAAAAGGCAAAAAGGTATGATGCTGAAAGATGAGCCCCTCAGGTTGGAAGGGGTCCAATATGCTACTGGGGAAGAGCAGAGGGCTACCACTAGTAGTGCCAGAAAGAATGAAGCGACTGGGTCAAAGCCAAAAGGACACTCAGTTGCAGATGTATCTAGTGGTGAAAGGGGAGTCTGATGCTGTAAAGATCTATACTCCATAGGAACCTGGAATGTAAGATCCATGAATCAAGGCAGGCTGGACGTGGTGAAACAAGAGATGACAAGACTGAACATCGACACCGTAGGAATCAGTGAACTAAAATGGACAGGAATGGGTGAATTCAATTCAGATGACCATCAGGTATACTACTGCAGACAAGAATCTCTCAGAAGAAATGGAGTGGCCTTCATAGTCAATAAAAGAGGAGGAAAAGCAGTACTGGGATACAATCTCCAAAATGACAGAATGATCTCAGTTCGAATCCAAGGCAAACCATTCAACCTCACAGTAGTTCAAGTCTATGCCCCAACCACTGGTGGTGAAGGGGCTGAAGCTGACCGGTTCTATAAAGGCCTACAACACCTTCTAGAATTAGCACCAAAAAATGATGTCCTTATCATCATGGGAGATTGGAATGCTAAAGTAGGAAGCCAAAAGATAACTGGAATAACAGGCAAGTTTGGCATTGGAGTACAAAATGAAGCGGGGCACAGGCAGGTAGAATTTTGTCAAGAGAATATGATGGTCATAGCAAATACTCTTTTCCAACAACCCAAGAGACGACTCTACACATGGACATCACCAAACGGTCAACACAGAAATCAGATTGACTCTGTGCTCTGCAGCCAAAGATGGAGAAGCTCTATGCAATCAGTAAAAACAAGACCAGGAGCTGACTGTGGCTCAGATCATGAGCTTCTTGTTGCAAAATTTAGGCTTAAATTGAAGAAAGTAGGGAAGAGCACTAGGCCACTCTGGTCTGACCTAAATCATATCCCTGATGAATATAGAGTTGAGGTGACAAATAGATTTAAGGAATTAGATCTGATAGACAGAGTGCCTGAAGAACTATGGACGGAGTTTCACAACATTATACAAGCGGTAGCAACTAAAACCATCCCAAAGAAAAAGAAATGCAAGAAAGCAAAATGGCTGTCTAAGGAAGCTTTACAAATAGCTGAGGAAAGAAGGGAAGCAAAAGGCAAGGGAGAAAGAGAAAGATACGCCCAACTGAATGCAGAATTCCAGAGAATAGCTAGAAGAGATAAGAAGGCCTTCCTAAATGAACAGTGTAAAGAAATAGAAGAAAACAATAGAATAGGAAAGACTAGAGACCTCTTCAAGAAAATTGGAGATATGAAGGGAACGTTTCATCCAAAGATGGGCATGATAAAAGACCAAAATGGCAGGGACAGAGGCAGAAGAGATTAAGAAGAGGTGGCAAGATTATACAGAAGAACTATACAAGAAAGAGCTTAACGTCCCTGATAACCATGATGGGGTGGTCACGGACCTCCAGCCAGACTTCCTGGAATGTGAAGTCACATGGGCCTTAGGAGGTCTGAGCAACACCAAAGCTAGTGGAGGTGACAGTCTTCCAGCTGAGCTATTCAAAATCCTAAAAGACGATGCACTTTAAGTACTACATTCAATATGCCAGCACATTTGGAAAGCTCAACAGTGGTCACAGGATCGGAAAAGGTCAGTTTATATTCCAATCCCAAAGAAGGGCAATGCCAAAGAATGTTCAAACTACTGCACCATTGCACTCATTTCACATGCTAGCAAAGGTATGCTCAAAACCCTACAAGCTAGGCTCTAGCAAGATGTGGACCAAGAACTACCAGAAGTAAAGGCAGGGTTTTGAAAAGGCAGAGGAACTAGAGATCCAATTGCCAACATACACTGGATCATGGAGAAAGCTAGGGAGTTCCAGAAAAACATCTACTTCTGTTTCATTGACTATGCTAAAGCCTTTGATTGTGTGGATCACAACCAATTGTGGCAAGTTCTTAAAGAGATGGGAGTGCCAGACCATCTTCTTTGTCTCTTGAGAAACCTATATGCGGGTCAAGAAGCAACAGTGAGAACTGGACACGGAACCACCGATTGGTTCAAAATTGGAAAAGGAGTACGGCAAGGCTGTATATTGTCCCCCTGCCTATTTAACTAATATGCAGAGCACATCATACAAAAGGCCGAGCTACATGAATCACAAGTCAGAATTAAGATTGCTGGGAAAAATATCAACAACCTCAGATATGCAGACAGCACTACTCTCATGGCAGAAAGAGGAACTAAAGAGCCTCTTGATGCGAGTGAAGGAGGAGTGTGCAAAAGTTGGCCTGAAACTCAACATTAAGGAAACTAAGATCATGGCATCCAGTCATATCACTTCCTGGCAAATAGATGGGGAAGAAATAGAGGGAGTGACAGATTTTATTTTCCTGGGCTCCAAGATCATCACAGATGAGGACTGCAGCCAAGAAATTAAAAGACGTTTACTCCTGGGGAGGGAAGCTATGGCAAATCTAGACAGCATACTAAAAAGCAGAGACATCCCCCTGACAACAAAAGTGCGTATAGTCAAGGCCATGGTTTTCCCAGTCACAACGTATGGCTGTGAAAGTTGGACCATAAGGAAGGCTGAGTGCCAAAGAATTCCACAGCATGGAATTGTCAATTTATCTATTTTATTCTGATCTATGTTGTAAGCTGTCCAGAGACTCAAGTAATGGACAGCATACAAATTTTATAAATAAATAAATAGAAGCCTCTGAATTGTGGTGCTGGAGAAGAATCCTGCGAGTCCCTTGGACCGCAAAGAGATCAAACCATTCAATCTTAAACGACATCAACCCTGACTGCTCTTTAGAAGGCCAGATACTGAAGATGAAATGGAATACTTTGGCCACTTAATGAGAAGGAACAACTCATTGGAGAAGACCCTGATGCTGGAAAAGATTGATGGCAAAAGGAGAAGGGAATGGCAGAGGATGAGGTAGCTAGATAAAGTCACTGGGGCGGTGGGTGTGAGATTGGGCAGACCGGAGAGCCTGGAGAAATGTTGTCCAGGGGGTCATAATGGGTTAGACACGACTTTGCGACTAAACAAACAAAAATCCAGATAATTCACCTTGTAATTCTTTCCCTCTTCGTTTGGGAACTGGTATATATATGCAATCTCCAGGGGGCAGCAAGTCTGAGATCAGTTTTTCTAGTTATTTGCCATAAAAAGGTGGGATATAACTATAATTAATTAAATAAATAAATAGGCCACATTAGGATCTATAGTAGTATTCCAAAGCGATTCCTGGTTTAAGTTTGGTTTGTTTAACCCAAAACAACTCCAAGTGCCCAAATTCAGAAGTCACAAAAACATCATTGTTGTGACTGGAGCATTTGTGGGCTGGTTCTGGAAACTGAAAGCTGCTTATACATGGTGCATGTCCTCAAAATGCATTGGTGAGTTAACTAATTAACCCTCAAGCTACTGTTGAATATCCAAACAGGATCACTGCTGATTCTCAAGATCTTTCTCCTGCATTCTCAGCCAAGGTATTTTGTAGCATTCACCAACCAATGCAATGCTTTTAAAATTCCTACAGGACAAGCACTGCCTAAGCATTTGTGTCATTGCTTCAGTTTCAGGAAGAACCAGGAATCGCTGCTCTTTTGCACCCATCAGCCCCACAGCTGCCCAGATTCTGTACCTTCAGATCCCTGTGAATAATAGGAGGCTTCTGCTTGTGCATATGTTGCACAGCACGGCATGTCTGGTAAAAGATCTTCAGAACTGTATCACACGAGAGGGGTCCTTTGGATTCAGCTTTCGTTAAAAATTCCACCAGCTGCCCTAAGGACAGAGAAATCGAGTTAATGTGGGCCATGCCTGTTAGGAAGGAGCCCATTCAAAGGTTGGCGAGAGGCACCAAAGTCCCATAAACACCCCCTTTAGTATGAGGCTTCTTAACAGACTACCTTGAGTCTATGTAAGTAAAGAGGCAGCTGGTTCTCCTCTTCTGGCTGCAGCGGACAGCACTGCATGCGTGGCGTGGTAGAGCCGGTGCTTACAGGGACGCAGCCCCAGCATTTGTGACCAGCAGGGACACAGACGTCATCTGCCACTCACCATCAGGATGCCTCTTGTATTGCTAATGATTTAGGGGAGCCCTGGTCCTAAATGGGCAACTACGACCAAATAGCTTTATAAAAGATAAATTCCCAATAGCCTGGAAGAGGTGAACGCAGCTGGCACTGGCTTGTTGGTATGGATCAGTGCATTTGCCGGCAGTTTCAGCCTTGCCTTGGGGATGCGGCTACAAGGACTGCTAAGGTGAGCACCTTGCACTTCAGAGTTTATACCATGCACCAGGATGGGCAGATGAGTTCTCCACGTGTTTTGAACCTCAGTAACCAGAAGCACCTGCCAGCACAGTAAATGCTCAGAAAAGATGAAATCTGAAGGCCAAAACACCTACAGGTCTACTTTATGCCAATTCCTGCCATATTCTGTCTAGGAATGAAAGAAGGGAAGAGGGACAGCTGCTACTCCTTTGGAATAAAATCAGGCCTGATCCTACCTACAAACCCGAACCCTGCAGTGGAGAATGCTAAAACCCACCCTGCTCTCTAAGGCATTAATAGCTGAGCCATTTGCTTCTTGGGATTGTATCTAATATATAAATAGCCTGCTTGAATGCTGAATACAACCCTTGCTTCTTCCATTCTTTGATGAGAAATGCAATGAAATTGGAATGCAAGCAGATTCCAGCCTTCGGCCACCTGAAACCGTGAGTGGGAAGGGCTGCCTGAGCCCCATTGTAAGACCAGCCCTGAGTCTCTCTCAGCAAGCTTCCCATCATCACATTTGCTATATTTGACTGCAAACAAGTCTTCCTATTGTGCTTCTAGTAATTCCAACATACAGGAAATATTTACCAGCCAGCTCTCAACTCTCTAATCGTGGCTTAGATTCAAGGGAAAATTGTGGGGAGAGGCAAAACACTGAATGCTACTGGCTTCAGTTGCCTGTGGTTATTACTGGAAAAAAAGGCATAATGTCTTGAAATGCAAATCACCTACTAGCTTTGGATACAGATCAAAAGGAGAAGCTATTCAAAAGAATCTTTTAAGTGTTTCTTTTCTTGCAATTTGGCACAGAGATGAGGAAGCCGCCATACTTGTGTGACTCACACAGCAGTGCGTCCTTCAGTCTCAGTCACACCAATTAATTAGAGAGCAAATTTTTAATCCATAATTAAAACAGTGATTAAAGCTCACAGCTCTAATTAAAATCAGTCTCGGGATAGAGGGGACCTTGTAACATTGTTGAAAAAAGGTGGAAAAAGTACTCTTAGTCATTTCTGCAACTTTTACAATGATTGTCCCCAAGACAGACCTGGTTTGCATGTAAGGGCAGTTCAGAGTATGGGCTGAATATGGGCTGTTGCTGAATTATGGGTTATCATGTGCAACCTTAACCTTGCACTATAGTTCAATTGTTATGATTGTTAACCATAAGTAACCCAGAATTCATAGTCCAACAGCAAATGATGGGCTATTTTCCTTGGCTGTTCATGGTCAAAAACCCATTGCACAGGTTTTACATGTAACAACAGCCACAATTCAACAACCCATGCACAACCAATACTCTGGGTTGCTCTTATGTGTATATCAGGTCACTGTTTACAATAAAGCTTATTATTAAACAGAAATGCAATAAAACAAAAGCAGAGCTGGGGAATTCCTCTGTTGAATTGGCTACAGGTATAATATAGCTCTGTACTCCTTTTGTGATGATACAGGCTTCTCCTTTGAATAACCTGGGTACAGTTATCTCTCGGGTAAGAACCAGCCCATCTGAGTTGCTGGAGAAGGTCACCACCTATGCAGAAACTAGGAGAGTAGGTATTTTACCTCTGCACAGCTCAGTCAGCAGAAGAAACTCCCCTTGCCCAGTATCCGATTCTTCTTTTCCTATTGATGCAGCTGAGCAGAACTGGACAATGTTTGGGTGACCAGACAGCTTTTTCTGGAGGATTTCAATGGTTAAAGTTGCAAAGATTTCTATATTTGGAACACAACTTTGCAGTCCTGTTACACAAGTTAATTTCCTTGAGGTATTACAGTCTCAAATCCTCTAAGACCCAGCAAGCTTTAGGAACAGGAAATGTACCAATCAATGCCCACTGGGCTGGATCAAGATGTCCTAAATTCAGCAAGTCATCCTCCCCCCGCCCCCGCACCACTGCCCACAGCAGCATAACCTGCCTCTCACTAGCTCTGAAATGAGGTTCAATTTCCTAGTCAGGCTGAACTCTTAAAAGTTGACTATGTGTGATCACATTCCGTAGGGAGTCCAAAATGAAACAAATAGAATGGCATTTCCAACAAGGTTCAAATAATAAGAACAGGGCGCCCAGCCTATTTTGTTTTACAGGGCCTGTGCTCAAAACATCCTGCCCCACCATGATTTAAGAAAATAAAGGCAGGGTAACACTGTAATATTTAGGTTTTTACTTCTTCCTACTAAAGAAAGTCAATCATTAACTTCCCCCACAAAAAGTCACCTGTACATTTTATGGAATTTGTAAAATGCCATGGGTATGCTCTCTCAGAAGAGAGCCATGACACACAATACCAGAGAACACACTTGCTTTATAATTTAAATGTGGTTTAGCCAAAGGCCCAGGTTCCCACACCCAGCCCCTCTGCCCCTCCCTTAGGATAAGCAGTGAAACACAACAGGAAACCACAATTACCTGGTTTTAAAGTTGGCCACTTCTGAAGCCATTAACCAAAACTCCCCATCTAGACAGTCACAGAAAAGAACGATGATCTACAGTTTCTTCGTTACTTTTGCTACACACACAAAGAGAGGGGCAAAGCAGCAGCATGCATTGTCCAAGATTGCTCAAGCACAGTTGACGTGTTTTATCTTTTCTCTAAAAGGATACCATAAAACAAACTTCTTGAATGATGGCTTTGTTCTTTTCTTCCTCATTAGACAACAATCTCTGTCAGGAAATAAACAAGTTACAGAAAAGGCCATTTTACACTGATTCCCTCTCACAGAAACACGCATGAAAAAGCAAAGGCTTGCTTTTCATACCTAAGTGGGATGCTAGTTTCTTTAAGTACCTGCCCTTGAGAACCGTACAGCTGCCTCCAGCTTGCCCCTCGTGGACGTGTCCCAGGACTGCACAAATCCTACGCAGGCTCACCTGCTGAGAGCTGCCTCTGAAGCCCTGAACAGATCAATTGCCGAATCACCTACATGGGGACTTGAAGACGCTGTTCCTGCCCACCAGCCGAACTACTGCAGCATCTCCAGCGTTCTTTCTGAAGCACCAGAGAAAACAGATGTTGCTGCACCCAGGATCCACCCACGAGTTACCAGTTAAGACTTCATTCCTTGCATTAAGTCACATGGAGGAAAAAAAACGGATGGGTAACTGTGTGTACTAATGTTATTCAGAATCAGAGCCAGTTTCCTTTGAACAGCTTGAGATTGGGGTGGGGGGGGGGGGGCGGGAGGACGACCTCATGTGGCACCTTCCCCAGCCTGGAGATAATGCCTGCATGCGTAACCTCTAAAGACTATTGAGAAACTTTAGTTTGTTCAAAGCAGAGCTGCTAGAGCACTGATATGGATTGGCTGATAGGATCATAGGTGCCAATGCTTTGCCAGCTGCACTAGCATCCAATCTTGTTTCCAAACCCCATTCAAAATGTTGGGGTTGACTTTTACAGCCCTAAGTGGCCTTCGCACCACAGTACCGAAAAGAACGTCTCCGCCTTTACGTATCTGCTCAAGCTATGAGGTTATCTTTGCGGGCCCTTCTCCAGGCACCCTGCAGAAGGACACAAGGCAGGTGGCTACGAGAGAGAGCTTCCTCCATTGTGGCATCCTTTATGGAACGCCCTTCCGACACCTACTGCCTTGACACCTTTTTCTGTGTCTGACAATGACCTTTCTTTTCCCTTTTCCCAATGACCTTTTTTACAGACCTAGTTCTAGTTTTTCACAGCACTTTTATTGTTTATTTTATTGTACTTTATATTTTGTTTCCACAGCATTTAGTGATTTTAACTGTTTGTAATCTGCACTGCAAACATTAGTTAATTGGGTGGATTAGAAATGAAATGTTACTATCCCACCTTATTAAGACATGGTATCAATTATCCATACGCTGACACATGGCAGTCCATTCACTCCTCCTTTACTCCTCCCACTTGCATGAGCCAGTAATTAAACCAGAGATGGATGTTGATGTTCAAAATCTGTCTCCAAGCCAACCATGATTTGCAAGCTAATATCAAACCCTGGTTTAAAGCTGGCTTCTGAAACCCAACTTCTTTGACCACAATAAAACACAGTCCCAAATTCAGATATCATGCTAAAGTGGTTTATTTACCCATCCAAACAAGCAAGTAAAGCAAAGCAGAAAGAAATGGGCTGCATAAACCAGCACTTGCCCATACTGTGGTTCAACAGGTCAGATTCCTGGTTTAAAGAGATGTTCATATGTGGCCTTTGATACCATTGAGATGAAATGCAGTGCAGGAGTTTGCCACTAGATGACAGATATTCAGCCCATGTACACTGGCAGTCCGATCCATATATCCAACAATTATTGTGGTATGTTTTACGCACACTAGCCTATTTTTACTATACAGAGGCAGACTATTGTATAAAAAATGACAGATGTGGAGTGGGAAAGGAGCAGTATTTCTTCTCAGTGGTAAGACTAAATTCTGGACCAGTCAAGAATGACATTTAACAATTCCAAAGGTATCTTTTAAGTGTAGCCTTTTTACATTATGCAGTTGTCATTACATTATGCAGAGTCCTGTGCACTTTAAATATGAACAAATTTATTCTGGCATAAACTTTCAGACTACAGTCCACAAAAGTTCAGAAAGAGCTCATGCCAGAATAAATGCGTTAATCTTTGGGTCACCACAAGACCCCTGATGGTTATTGCTTATCTTGCCATTTTAAACCTTTAAAAAAATCATTTTGAGGTCTTAATGTTTTAAACTGCTATATACCCTACCTTGATGGCTTTTTGGTAACACACACACACAGAGACAGAGACAGAGACAGAGACAGAGACAGAGACAGAGCGAGAGCGAGCAAGCATCCTTGAAAATAATCAAAGTGGCCCTGTCTGTTAAATATACAACTGGGCTGTATGTTTGCTTCCCCAAAGACCCCATGAGAGCAGGAAGTGACTAGCAGGAGGCATCCAAAGAGTTTGAGATACTCAGCACAACATCTGTTTGGGTGACCATGAGAAAAAACAGGGATAATGCTAGAAGCCTCACTTCGTAACAGCAGAACTTGGGATGAGAGAACCAGCCTGGTGGACTGCATGTTGGTGCGCTGTCTCACCTGTTGGACTCGGGTCCATGTTCGTATGCATGCTGAAATATGACATTCCCTGGAAGGCTTTGGAGCAGTCGTTACCTCCCAACCTGACCTCACTAACAGGATAGTTGAGAAGGTGAGTAATCTCTGGAGGAAGGGAGGCTTACAAATGTAACAAATATAATCATTTTCATCAAACCTACTCAGGGATAGGGGGATCACAGGCAATGGGCACAGCAAGCTGACTGCACCCTCATGTGATTCTGAGCCAATCAACTAGCAACTGTTCTGACACTTGCTTTAGGAAGATGCAAACCAGGGTGTTCCTTTCAGGAGTACTTCTTTGTTTTAATGTTTGGAAGTAGCATCTCTGAGCCCATGCCCTAGAACCATCCAAATGTACACTTCTGGCAAGCTTATTCTTTTATATGTTGGAAGCATCTGGTAAAAGACAGAATGCCTGCTATTTGTAAATAGCAATCTGAAATGCCTGCAGCAAAAGTTTAATGCTGGCAGCTGTTCTGGATTGTTCTGAAAGAGATCCAGCTCAAAAAGAGAACAGATGATTTATTTGGAATGTTTCTCATTATTCAGACAGAATCCCCCTCCTCCTACCATGCCAGATGAGTTTGCAAAAGCATACAGTATCAAGCAGCACAATCACAATGGAAGGGTTTGCCTGACACAGCAACCCATCCTGCAAATAAGCTGCTCAGCATGAGTTGTATGTGGAACAACCCACGATGCATCCAAAAGGTAACTAGGCTCACCGTAGGCTATTCCCACTTTTCTTCCCCTCAGTTGCTCCAACAGTATCCTGGAGGAATTGGCAACTGAAGCCACTTTGTCTCTTCTCCCTGTTCTACTTGCAACCCTGTTATGGTCGCCACTGCAGATTTCTCTGCTTTTCGCAATCTTTCTGCAATCTCTGAGAGTGACAACCACTGACAGGCCCTCCAATGTGCCCATGTGGCTTGCAGGTGACCAAAATGAAATTCTTGCCTACTCAGTGACACGGTAAATGCGTGCTACCAAAGTGTAGTAGGTACAAGCCATAGGCACTGACCAAATAAGGATACAAACATGTTATTTCATTGCTTTGCTCCTCACCTGACAATGGTCAAACTGCAAGCTGCCAAGCAAAGAAGAAAGCTGAGAAAAGATCTGTTTGCAAAAGAGGGTGCTGAATACACTCTTCCCTTGGCAATGGGATTCATGAATTATGAGGTGTGTATCTGACCATTCATTGTGTCCTCCACCTTTTCCACCCTTCCCTGAGATCTGGGTACTCAGGAATTGAGATAGGTGCATCTCTCCCCAGTTATAAGAGCACTTTCTTTGAACAGCTATGAACAGAAAGGGCTTCTTTTAGGACAGTGTATTTCATAGTGCTAAACAGGTTTTATGACAGATTTTGTGCCTGCATAATTCTCTGTCAGAAAAACCTGTTTAGCCCTGTGCAAAACCCTGCTGTAAAAGAAACCCTTTCTTCTTGGAAGGCAGGAGGAGCAGCACTTTCAACTGCACAGCAGTTAAAAAGTTTTAGGAACTTTACAAACAATCATCACTGGTTGCTTCAGGCACACCAGTTCCCAAGTCGTAACAGAAGCCCACAGGGCATCAGCCACATAGCCATGAAAGGGGAGTAACCCCTGTGGACTGCTTGTGCCATAATTTTGTAAGGCAAGCCTCAGCATGCTGTCCCCACCATCCCACCTCCTACCACCCCCAGTCCTCCTAAAATTAGCTGTTCAAGAGTGCCAGAAGGTTTTTGGTACAATCCTACACAAGTTTAGGCAGAAGAAAGGCCTACAGCTCCTACCTGGGCAGACATTTTCTGTGTAAACATGCACAGGATTCTATTTTTAGCCAGTGTGGCATTCTGTTATGTTATGGGGTGGTTTGTGGCCTTTGGGGGGCCCTCAGAGGACTAAGAGCAAATGAGAGTGAGCAGTTTCTGAACATTCAGGGGCTACAGAGTTCCAAAAGCAAAAACAGCTCCTGGACATTCAAAAGTTTCATGCCAGACACTGCAGGGCTATTTTTGCTGTCTGATCCCTCCCACTGCAAGGAAAGAAGCTGCTTCAGATGATATCAGAATGTTGGTGATTCCTGCTCAGTCCTGTCCACACTGACAACAGCTTTACTAATTAGGCAAATGATAGCCACAAGCATTAGCTCTGCCCAAGCCTGTAGAATTTAAAGGCAGTGGCATGGATGCTTCTTGGCGAGTAGCACAAAATGGGATTTTGTGAACAAATTCAAAATCAACAGCTGCATTTGATATTCAGCACGTCCCTGTGAATCAGATCAACAATGAAAAGACCCAGCTGAAAACTGAAATCCAGGAAACAGAGGCTGTTTACCTTTAAAGCATACTCTTTGCCACTTCCAAGATCCTGAGCTTCATATACAAAAGCAAAGCCACCTATGGAGAAAAAGAGACAATAGTGAGACCAACATGTTTCTAGGAAATCAGCCAATCTGATGCAACAATAGAAGGGCTGCCCAGAAGCGGGAACAGGGCACCGTGTGCCAAAAGGTGGCTACACAGTTAAATGCCTTGAGACCAAGAGACAAGACACAGAGGTACTTCTACATACTACAGAGATTAACAAAGCAAAACAAGAGAATACTCAAACCTTTGGTGCTACCAAGAGAAGAACTGCATCACCCCAAGTAAAGCATCCAATTCATATCGCAACTGCATATGCCAATTTACACACACACACGCAAATTTAGAGATAACTAGGGTTTAGCTAGAAATGAAGTACATTTTACGATGGTGAAGAAGCCTGACCAGAGGACTGGTGTACCTGCTTAGTCTACTGTCCAGCTCCTAATTTCAGCTGGGCAACTTCAAAGCCCCTGCTGGGTTTCCCTTCTTATGGTTCCTGGACTTCAAACCAGATCTGAGCTGGGCAGTCCATCCAATAGAGGACTCCTTCAATTGTAGGACTGCTCTCTGACAGCACTTCAAATAGAGGACTATCCTTTGTAAAGTAGGACACCTGGCCAGTAGACTTTGCACACAGAAATAATGGCCTAGCTAGCACACTGCTTATGTTCACATTATAGGAGGAGGGCCAATTCCTCTCCTTCCCAGAGTGTCTTACCTAGACAGCATAAGCTACTTTCACTGCAAGCAGTAAAATGCCAGCACCAAAGGCAAATTCTGGGACATCCTTCCATTAGTGCAAATACTTGGAAGTGCAAAACAATGCCATACAACCCAGGGTAGCTGCATTGTTCCAACTTTATTGCAGGGAAGTCTGCAGGATGTTGGAACATTACTTTTAACTGCAGACATGCCTCTCTGAAGTTTGCCATCCTCCTCTGCCAGGTGTGCAGAGTGGAAATGGAGGACTGATGATGCTCTAAGGTGCACTCAGGTCACTCTGGGTAATGAGACAGCTTAACAGGCCTGGGGAAACTGTCTGTGCAATCTATTCTGTGCTGGGCTCCTCCACATACAAGCTGGTAGGGAAATGGTTCCTGGAAGAGAGAAAGCACAAAGGATACCCTTTTACACCAGCATGGCATAGTGGTGAGACTGGGACTCAGGAGATGCAGAGTCTAGTTTCCTCTTGGCCAGGAAGGTAACTTTGGACCAGTCACGGCCTCTCAGCCTAACCTACCTCACAGAGCTCTCCTGGGGATAAAATGGAGACCGTCATCACTTAAGTTGCCTTGGGTTCTTTGAAGGAAAAAAAAAGGCAGAACAGAAATGCAACGATAAAAAGAAAGTAAGGCAAGCCCTCACAGAAAACTCTGAACAAAGCTTTTTATGCTGGGGACATTCCTTCAAACACAAGCAAGCCGACTCAGCCCTGAAGCATTTGTGAACTTCATAACCCAGAAATCCTTGAACCTCTTTCAACCTGAGGGCCAATTCCATTTCGAAGAAGCACTTGGGAATTGCACCATCAGGTATACTACTGTGGGCAAAAATCCCTCAGAAGAAATGGAGTAGCCATCACAGTCAATAAAAGAGTAGGAAAAGCAGTACTGGGATACAATCTCCACAACGACAGAATGATCTCAGTTCGAATCCAAGGCAAACCATTCGACATCACAGTAGTCCAAGCCTATGCCCCAACCATCGATGCTGAAGAGGCTGAAGTTGACCGGTTCTATGAAGGCCTACAACACCTTCTAGAATTAACACCAAAAAAATGATGTCCTTATCATCATGGGGGATTGGAATGCTAAAGTAGGAAACCAAAAGATAACCAGAATAACAGGCAAGTTTGGCCTTGGAGTACAAAATGAAGCAGGGCACAGGTTGGTAGAATTTTGTCAAGAGAATACGATGGTCATAGCAAACACTCTTTTCCAGCAACCCAAAAGATGACTCTAAACATGGACATCACCAGACAGTCAACACAGAAATCAGATTGACTATGTGCTCTGCAGCCAAAGATGGAGAACCTCTATACAATCAGTAAAAACAATATACCAGCAAATTTGAAAAACTCAACAGTGGCCACAAGATTGGAAAAGGTCAGTTTATATTCCAATCCCAAAGAAGGGCAATGCCAAAGAATGTTCAAACTACCGCACCATTGCACTCATTTCACATGCTAGCAAAGGTATGCTCAAAACCCTACAAGCTAGGCTTAGCAGTATGTGGACTGAGAACTACCAGAAGTACAGGCAGGATTTCGAAGAGGGAGAGGAATTAGAGATCAAATTGCCAACATAACGCTGGATCATGGAGAAAGCTAGGGAGTTCCAGAAAAACATCTCCTTCTGCTTCACTGACTATGCTAAAGCCTTTGATTGTGTGGATCACAACCAACTGTGGGAAGTTCTTAAAGTGATGGGAGTACCAGACCATCTTATCTGTCTCTCGAGAAACGTGTATGCGGGTCAAGAAGCAACAGTAAGAACTGGACATGGAACCACTTATTGGTTCAAAATTGAAAAAGGAGTTTGGCAAGGCTGTATACCAGGGGTCTCAAACTCAACTTACCTGGGGGCCGCTGGAAGTAGAGGCTGGGTGAGGCTGGGCCGCATCAAGTATTCCACCACCGCAGTGGGGGTGGGCCGCTCATCCCACGGCCGGCCCGGGCACCACCGGCACTTTGTAGGCTGCAGGGCCCCTCCCCTGTGCCCCTCCCATCCCAGCAATTGGCCCGGGGGCCACGAGTTTGAGACCCCTGCTGCATACTGTCGCCCTGCCTATTTAACTTATATGCAGAGCACATCATGAGAAAGGCGGGGCTAGAAGAATCACCAGTTGGAATTAAGATTGCTGGAAGAAATACCAACAACCTCAGATATGCAGATGATACCAGTCTCATGCCAGAAAGTGAAGAGGAACTAAAGAGCCTCTTGATGCGGGTGAAGGAAGAGAGTGCAAAACTTTGCTTGAAACTCAACATTAAGAAAACTAAGATCATGGCATCTGGTCCTATCACTTCCTGGCAAATAGAAGGGGAAGAAATGGAGGTAGTGACAGATTTTATTTTCCTGGGCTCCAAGATCACCACATATGAGGACTGCAGCCAAGAAATTAAAAGACATTTGCTCATGGGGAGGGAAGCTATGGCAAATCTAGACAGCATACTAAAAGCAGAGACATCCCCCTGACAACAAAAGTGCGTATAGTCAAGGCCATGGTTTTCCCAGTCACAATGTATGGCTGTGAAAGTTGAACCATAAGGAAGGCTGAGTGCCAAAGAATTCCATAGCGTGGAATTGTCAATTTATCTATTTATTCTGATCTATGTTGTAAGCCATCCAGTAATGGACGGCATACAAATTTTATAAATAAATAAATTGAGGCCTCTGAATTGTGGTGCTGGAGAAGACTCCTGCGAGTCCCTTGGACCACAAAGAGATCAAACCATTCAATCTTAAACGAAATCAACCCTGACTGCTCTTTAGAAGGCCAGATACTGAAGATGAAACTCAAATACTTTGGCCACCTAATGAGAGGGAAGGACTCCCTGGAGAAGAGCCTAATGCTGGGAACAATAGATGGCAAAAGAAGAAGGAGACGGCAGAGGATGAGGTGGCTACATGGAGTCACTGAAGCAGTCGGCATGAGCTTAAGTGGACTCTGGAGGATGGTGGAGGACAGGAAGGCCTGGAGGAATGTTGTCCATGAGATCGTGATGGGTCAGACACGACTTCGCAATTAACAACAACAACAAGGGAGAAAAAGCAGAAGGGCTAAAATACTAACACATTTCAGCATGAGGTTCTTCAATCTTTCTGCATGGGAAGGAAGTTAAAAGGGGTATGGCCATCCGGGAAAGCCCAGGGGGGCAGAGATTTGACACCTCATTTACAACATGGAAAACCAATCTATAGTTCAGGAAGCTCTAGTGGCAGCAGTCTGAGGTACTTCTGGTCATAAGTAAGAGAGTCCAGGTGCCTTTCCCAACTGTCAACAGGCAAGAAGCTCTACCTTCTCTCCACAGACACTCTTATCTATTTATTCGCTTTATATTTATTTATTTATTTTTTATTTATTTATTAAAACATTTTTATGCCGCCCCATTCACCGAAGCCTCGGGGCGGCTTACAACAATAAATTAGATCCACATAAATAAAAATTAAAATATATACATTAGAATAACAACAACAACAACAACACACACACAATATAAAATAATATAAAATAAGCCGTCCTGGCCAGATAAAATTCAATAGTATTAACATTTAAAATGCTGCTTAAATAAAAAGGTCTTTGCCTGGCGCCGGAAAACAAGTAACGACGGCGCCAGGCAGACCTCTCTGGGGAGCGCATTCCATAACTTAGGCGCCACCGCTGAGAAAGCCCTCCTCCGAGTAGCCACCCTCCTAATTTCTTTCACAGAGGGCTCCCGGAGAAGGGCCTCTCCCACCGATCTCAGGGGGCGACTGGGCATATATGGATGTAAGCGCTCCTTCAGGTAACCAGGACCCAAGCCGTTTAGGGCTTTATAGGTCATCACCAACACCGTGAATTGGGCCCGGACTTCAATGGAGAGCCAGTGAAGCTGACGGAAAACTGGAGTCATGTGAACATAACGTCCAGTCCCCGTCAGCAGCCTGGCAGCTCTATTTTGAACCAACTGAAGTATCCGGACCGTCTTCAAGGGTAGCCCCACGTAGAGCGCATTACAGAAGTCAAGACGGGAAGTCACCAGCGCATGAGTCACTGTTGCGAGGCAGTCGTACTCCAGGTAGGGGCGCAGCTGATGAATCAGCCAAAGCTGGAGGAAAGCACTCCTCGCCGCTGCTGTTACCTGAGCTTCGAGTGAATACCCTTATACCCTGCTTTTTTTTTCTTATAACAAACTGAAAGTGGTTTACATCATTCTCCTCCTCTTGCTCTCAATCTTATCCCCAGAACAACAACCCTGTGAGGTAGGTTGGGCTGAAAATCTTTGAGTGGCCCAAAGTCACCCAGTTGGCTCCATGGCTGAGCAGAGA